GGGAAGATGTCATCTTCCCCTATAAAGTGGAGCCGAGTACCTGCCTTATAGTAAGTAAATCATTTTTTTTACAAAGCCCTGACCATCTTCGGTCCAGGGTGCCTCAGGACCCTGTTCCACCTCCACAGCGGAAGGCAGCAGTGTTTCTGAAGATCAGTTGCTGGAAGCCCCAGGCGGGGAGAGGGAGAGGGGGAGCTCTGTGCAGGTGAAAGATGGATCTTATTCCCAGATCCAGGAGGCCCACTCTTCTCCCATAGTTGTCAAGTGGGCTGGGCTGGAGAGAGAGCACAATTCAGGGCTTGGTGTGGTGGTGGCAGCGATGGTGTCTCCAGTTCTGACATGCTGTGTGCTTCCCCACAACAGGAAGTTATTGAAGAGGAGCCCCAGGGCTCCTTCTGCGTCACCCTCCTGAGACCAGCGACCTGACGTAAGTACGGTCACTGCCCTACCTATTCCTGGCACCTCCCTTGCCATACCCTGAAATTGTACCCCGTACTTCCCCACAACAGGAAGTTATTGAAGAGGAGCCGCTGGCATCGCTCTCAATCTTACACCAAGCGATGGAAACCATAATCCGCATGACGCAAGTTCGGGGAGGTACTTCTAGTCTCCCTACAGCTTGTCACTGCCCCACCTATTCCTGGCACCTCCCTTGCCGTACTAGGAGCCGTGGGGAGCTCTCTCATTAGGAGGTCCCTGATGACGGCTGGAAATGACCCTCGGCCACCCCAGAAAGACCCCTCCCCTGAAAGATTACCCCGAAATGATAGACACCAGTTGGTGCCGTTGGAAGCGTGCAAAGATGACATGGTGCAGCCACCGTTTGGGGCTGCCATTGCTGGTCCGAGGAACTGAGCGGATGCGGCAGTTCTGTGGCCCCTTCCCGATGACCTGCTTCCTGAACCTTCGTCCTGCTCCGTTGGCAAAAGTTTGTGGGGATGTTGACTGAGGTCAGCGATTGAGCGCTCGTTCCGTTTCGCTCGCAGGGAGATGAGACAATGTCGCATCAAGCAAATGCTAGCTCCCCCGTTCCATTCTAGTTTCCCTGTCACTTTTCCCACCACCAAAAATGTCCAATTTGGAGTCGGTTGGGGAGTGGAACTGACTCTGCCGCCGTGCCATTGAATCCCACCTGGAAGGAGGAACTGGAAGCCCCCTGACAAAGTCCCCTGACAAAGAACTGAGCTTTCCCTCTCGCCTGCCTCATTTACTCACCCCCCCCCCAGAACTCTCAGAAATCTTCAAAAAGCTCCAACCAGCGCGCCAGGTGTGTGAGATGCAGGGTGGATTTGATTTAAATCAAATTGATTTAAATCACGATTCAAATCACTAGTCTGTAAGACTTGATTTAAATCATATTTTTACATTCTTGCTGGTATAATCTTAATATTTACAACCAGATGAAGGTTTCATTTTGGGAATAATACATTTTCAGAGTAGTTTTTTACAGTTAAATCAAAAATTACTGATTTGGTTATACTGTTAGAAGTACATAGACAGATAATTTGGAAATTATTGTGAGGTTTAATAAGTTAACTGTTTATATTTGGACAACTTTTCTGCTGTACTTTGTTGGCAGGAGAATAACAATTTAAACAATTTATTTAAGTAAAACAATAACGTTTTAGCATATCTATCCATGTTTGTTAATTGATGGGGTTAAACAGAAAATAAAAACTTAGACTGAATTTTAGCGCATATGAAAAACTTAAATACTTATTTCCTGATGAATAACCTTTGGACTATAATGCAACTTAAACAGAAAACTATCTTTAGAAAGATTTTTCCTCCAAAAGCATTTTATTTTAAAAATATAATTTAAATTAAAAAAAAATCAGATTTTTTGATTAAAAATAAATAAATCATGGTCTTTTATATGAATGAGGAACCAGTGATAACCAAGTTCAGTTTCCAATAATAATGGATTCCAAACAACAAATGTTGATCATGGAAAATCCATTATTCATGAGAGTGAAATTACCTGCCTCTCTGCTCTATGTTTGGGTGCCTCAATTTTAAAAAATCCCTTCTCCTTTTAGGACGAGGCTGTGAAGAGCACTTTTATGAAGGCGACAATTCTAATAAGCAAAGCGCTTCAGTGGAGCCGAGTACCTGCCTCATAGTAAGTAAATCATTTTTTTTACAAAGCCCTGACCATCTTCGGTCCAGGGTGCCTCAGGACCCTGTTCTACCTGCACAGCGGAAGGCAGCAGTGTTTCTGAAGATCAGTTGCTGGAAGCCCCAGGCGGGGAGAGGGAGAGGGAAAGCTCTGTGCAGGTGAAAGATGGATCTTATTCCCAGATCCAGGAGGCCCACTCTTCTCCCATAGTTGTCAAGTGGGCTGGGCTGGAGAGAGAGCACAATTCAGGGCTTGGTGTGGTGGTGGCAGCGATGGTGTCTCCAGTTCTGACATGCTGTGTGCCGGGTTCCATAATTATGCTCCATAGCTGCTGAATTAGCACTTTTTCTGTGAGCTTTGGATAATTTCCCCTCCCCTTCTTTCTCATTCCTCTTCACGCACAGGTTAGATCGGAGCTGGTGGAGAAAACCATCAGGAAGGTCTTCTCTCTGCCCTCCCAGAAGCTGACGAAGCTGAGAGACAGGAACCCCAGGCAACCAGCAGAGATGCAGGTAACTGGACCTTCTGCTTCTAGGGATCTGAACGGAGGGAAATGGCTTGTCAGTACAGCCTGGAACTGTGGCCAGATAAAAAAATTTGAGGGCAAAAAGGCTGAGCCGTGTAAGCTACGAATAATGCTGCCAGAGACACTTGGCCCATCACAAGGATGTAACAACCAGAGACCCTGGGTGTATATTCTTGATTCTTTCGGTATGTGTGTCATTTAAAAGGTGTTCCCTCACCTGGGTAATGGACAGGTGGTATAGAAATAAAGTCTTACCACAACCACCACCCCGTGGCTCTTTCCCCGACTTCAAAGGATATCTTGCCTTCATTCTGGCTACGGGCTGCAAAAAGGTTTTCATTCTTTGAAAAGAAATAGTGTTGAAGAATGTGTCCTTCTCCAGGTGTGCTGCCATTGGCCCCAGTCAGCATGGCCAACAGTCAGGAGTAGTTGGAGTCCAATAACCAGGCATGGGGAACCCGAGGTGCTCCAGAAGTAGAACAACAGAGCATCTGTTTTGGATCCACAAGGTCCCAGGTTCAATCCACAGCATCTCCAGGTGGGGGTGGGAAAAGACTCTCTGTCTGAAGCCCCAGAGGGCCAACTGCCAATTATCATCTGTAGACGACACCAAGGTTGGAGGATCAACGGCTGGGCTTGGTCTAAGGATGCTCCCTGCATTCCATTGCTATGGCTGTGGTGAGGTGTAGGTTGTATTATTGCATTTATCATATAAACACACAAATGACATAAAAATACAAAATGCTTAATAAAACAAAAACAACTCAAGAGCCAATTAATATCTAATTCTACTAATGTTTAAAAAAAACTTTTAATGGCTTCTTTTTTATATATCTTTATTTCTTATTTTGTTTATAAGCTGCCTTCAGTCCCTTTCAGGGAAAAAGGTAGGGTATAAAATAATAATAATAATAATAATAATAATAATAATAATAATAATAATGTAAAACAAATAGCAGCAAACTTTCTCCTTTACAAAATAACCCCTTTTTGCAATTTGTCCCCTCTATGGTCCTGGCATGATTCATCAAACTAGTAGCCCAAGCTTTATGAATTTGCAAACCTGGATTAATGGTGGTTCTTCCATACGATGATTATTATTTCTCTCCCGTAGCCATGGCTGGATTGACTCCTCAAAGACCTGTGAGCAGGAAAGAGCTGTACCAGCTTCCCGTTGAAGTACGTCTCTCAACATTGAACCTAGATGTGAGCAAGCAGGTGTCAAGCTGACTTCTGGACCAAGGCTTAACCAGATCAGGAAGCTAGTGAGACGGAAAGGCTTCAAGTATTGTTTGTGGTTGTTGTTGTGTTTGTTTTTATTTTTGTTATTGAAAATTTAATAAAATTTTTATATATCTATATAAATTTAAACCTTTTTCAACAGACACACACATTATAGACACACATCTAAGCATGGGTATTTCTTAGATCCCAGCCCTTGTCTAGGCATTTGTGCCTGCTTTGTGCAAGGGTTGAAAACAACCATCCATTTCTCTGGTGACATAACAACTCAACCCTCTAATAACTCGTATAGGGTGATCCTACAGCACAGGGCCCCAGCCCCATAGCTGTACTCCTGCCAGGACAAGAGGAGCTCCACAAGGATGCAGCAAAAGTGCTCCTTCCACCTGCTGCATCCATTTTGTACACAAAGGGGAGACTTGGCCGGGAAGAAGGGTACTTCTTCAGCCAGCCTTACAAATGTCAAAAAGTTACTAGCCTGCAATATTTGTTTTGCCCCCTCCTCCAAAGTCAGCATGGAAACGCAGCAAAAAAGTGGCTTCTTCCATGAAGGATGGTGGAGGAGAGACACTCTGATAGTCCACTGTGTTTCTGTGATGACTGCGGATGAGACAAGACTACTCTTCCTTTACAGCTAGCCAGGAAATCAAGTGAGCTGGCTGCTCAGTCACCTGCATGAAATTCCTGGTTGCCTGGGGCTACTAGGCAAGTCGTCAAATACTAGGCTGTCTTCAGTGATTTTAGAACTGATCCCTTTCACCTTTTGAGTCTTCAAACACATGGATGTCTCCATCCCCTTAAGTGCCACTTTGAATTGGCGAAGGCTAACAATACAATACTTTTTCCCCCTCTGAGAGCTTGCCGTTTCTTGCCAACAGAGGCCTGTGGCACAGATCACAAAGAATGAACAAAGGGTTTGTACCCCTTCTATGTGATGCCTCTTGAAGAGCATGACTGGGAGTTGTGGCTAGACATTACCAAGAAAACATGCCCTTCTGGGTTCAGCTACTCCTTTCAAAGAAGTCTTCAAAAGCTAATAAACTTCTTCTTATCTTTGTAGTGACCTGCTGCCCAGGCACTTATCCTGTACTTTTCCAGGCATCCATTGGGGCAGGAGCAGCAGCTGCAGGCACCTTTGTCTTCACTTCCCCATTTTGATCTTTCAGCAGGTGTCTTGCTCAAAAATTCCTCTCTTTGGAAATTCCTAGAGATTGAGCAGACAAGATCAGAAAAACATCCAAGTTGTTCTTACAAAGCACTTCCCAAACTGAAGCTTCCCCCCAAAAAGAGGAAATGAAAGCAACACCAAAGAAAAAAAAGCTTAAGCAGCCCAGGAAAAAACTCTTAATGAAGAAAAACAAACCAGCCCAGACTTGAGAAGGCCCAAGGATAACCCTGCCCAACACCAAGAAACCCGCACCTTGGACTTACTCTTTCCATCTGGAGACAGGGGCCGAACGCTTAATTGAAGAGTCCTGCAGGGTTACACCACAGACCAAAGATTAATAGTCTTTTTATAGACCCCAGTTATCACATCAGCTGCCTGACTATTCTCAACACTTTTATAAGAAGCTCAATTATTTTGTATACCAAACAGATTTTTAATGGCTTTGGAGGTACTTGATAAAGCTTTATAATTCCATGAGCAATTAGCCTATGCTCCTCCCTACCATTTCTTAGACAATCATGAAGTTGACAAGTCTTATTCCAAGCCATGTTTCAGTGGCTAGAACAGGATCAATCACAACACAGAACCAAAGACCAGGGAGAGGGCCAGAGAGGAGGACAAGCGTAATTTTTGCTGCCTTGTTCCTAAACTCTTCAGAAGGCAATCAGAGCAAGTTTCCACACTTCTGTCATTTGGGGCTGGGACATCCTATCGTATGTAATTCACTACCTATCAATGTGGGCTGGCTGCTTTGGCATAACCCCAGCTTCTCTCTGGATTTGAAGGGCCCAGCCAGGACCCAAGGAGTGGGTGGGTGGCAACAATTAGCACAATACAAAGAGACTGCAAGCTGATCAACCACTGCACCAGTACTTAGCCAAATAAAGAGGTTGAAATCCAAGGCACAGCGTCAGTAGTAAATGCAGGTCAGCAGTCACTGCTAAAGACCCGTTGGGGGGAGGAGGTGCAGCAACAGTTACGTGCACCCGGAATGTGACCACACGGAGTTAATCGTAAGCTGCTCATCTAGCTCTTTTTAGCTGGGGATGCAAGATGTGTGCCCGCCCCCTTAGGGATGTTAGAATCATAGAACTGCAGAATTAGAAGGAATCCTAAGGGTCCTCTAGTCCAACCCCCTGAAATGCAGGTGGCCGTTAGGGAGATCAAACCTGCAACCTTGGCCTAATCAGCACCAGCTCTAACCAGCCAAGCTAACTAGTGCAGGGGGGCCTTCTTTTGTAGAACTGCAGTGCGAGGCCTCCCAGAACCTCCTAACTTTGCCTGTGGGAGCCTGGAGGTCGGAGCCTCCCTTTCCAGCTCCATACAGAAGGAGGACCATTTGGGGGCAGGGACCGTCAGTCTTTCCTGTTGCGAGAGGAGGCGAGGAGGCTCTGGCTCTGTTTGGCGGGTCCCGGGCTCGGGGGTCCCTGGGGGGGAAAGGGAGAGGCTATGGAGACACACAAGATCATGCAGAGGACCCCTCCAGGGCCACGCAATACACGTCTCCCCCCGCCAGCCCGGTCTTCGTCCCCAGGACGCGAGGAGGCTCTGGCTCTGTTTGGCGGGTCCCGGGCTCGGGGGCAACAGCCGAGATCTTGAAGCAACGGCCAACGGTCCCCCGCCCTGCCACGCCCCCCGCGCCCGACTCTCGCCTCCCATTGGCTGAGAGGACCCGGGCTTCGCCCAGATACAGAGTCGGAAGAGCCGGCCAATGGGGAGAGAGGAAAGAGGGGTTGGAGCCGGCTCGCCCACTGCCTTCTGGGAGTCGTAGTACCTGCCCTCTATTCTTCCCCCCAGAGAACAGAAATGAATGACAGGGAGGACTGCGTTTCCCAAACGGCACGGCGGTGCTGCTTCTGAGCTACGGGTCGCGAGAAGAGGGAAAGCCCCCCCCGGTGCTGTTTTCCCTCCCAGGTGTGCAGGTGGTCAGAGGCTGATGCGGGAGGGAGGAGGAAGGAGAGGGAGGAGAAGGCCCTGCGCAGCCTCAGCAGCTCCAGCCACACCAAGCCCGACCTGGAGAAGCTCCCCTGGCATCCCTGGTTGGCATGGAAACTGCCCAGAGCCTTTCTTCCCTCCCTTGTTCATTCCATGGCGCTTCCTCCCAACACAACTCCCAACAGCCCTGGGAGGGAGGCCAGAAGGAGAAGCACGGAAAATGCTCCAAGGCGACTTACTTGATTGCATTTCTATCCCGCCTTTTTCTCCGAGGAGCCCAAGGTGGCACAGATGGTTCTCTCCCTCCTCGTTTAATCCCCACAGCAACACTGAGGTAGGTTACTCTGGCAGGCACTGATTGACACACACACACCCGACGTCACCCTTAATGGCCGAGGGGGGATTTGAACCCTGGTCTCCCAGGTCACAGTCCAACACTCTAGCCACTGCACCACACTGCCTTTCCTTCGACTTTGATATGGCAGAAAATCCTACCTGGAGCCTCCCATCTTTTGGACCTGACCTTCAGTACACTTGCCCCCCCCAAATTAGTTACCTTTGTTTGGAAGAAAAATATCTGCTACTTTCCCTTTTTCTTCTTTTTTAAAGGCTTCTCCAAAGTGCACATGTGATCTCTTTTGCCCCTGGGATATTTCTAATCTAACATCCAGGCTTTTAAGGCAGAATTTCCCATTTGATCTAGGACAGGCATAGGCAACCTGCCCTCCATATGTTTTGGGACTACAACTCCTATGATCCCTAGCTAACAGGACCAGTGGTCAGGGATGATGGGAGTTGTAGTTCCAAAACAGCTAGAAGGTAGAGTTTTGGGATGCCTGTTTTAAAATATGTGACATACTTTGTTCTTGGTCTCCTAAGAAAGGTGGGGGGACTTCGTTGCAACAGAATAAAGATCTGCCTTCAGCTCATTCATCTCTGACCAATAACGAACTTGGAGTCCTTTAAAAGGGGAGTTAGGCCATTAAAGATACACCCCTTAAGTCTGGTAACACTGTGCCAGGTGGGTCTGATGGGAGTTGAAGTCCAAAACATCTGAAAGGTTGGGGCAGACGGCTGAGCTGAATGGTGGGCAACATTCCAGACTTCTCTGTGCTCTCCCTCCCTCTCCAGAGGGCAAGGCGATCCTCAGATGACCCCGTGGTGGCAGTTAGGGGAGGGAGAGGACACCTCAGCAGGAAAGTTGGAAGCTCATTCAATCAGCTTTGCTCGGGAGCATTTTGTCCTTTGGACTACAACTCCCATCATCCTTTGATAATTGGCAATTTTGGCTGGAGCTGATAGGAGTTAGAAATCTGAAGGGCACTCGCTCGGCGGGTGTAGCGCGTGGATGCCCGGGGGGGGGGGGCTTCCAGCGTCGATCTTCTACTTGTTTACACGAAGAAGTATCTGAAGAAGCGTGCATGCACACGAAAGCTCATACCAATAACAAACATAGTTGGTCTCTAAGGTGCTACTGGAACGAATTTTTGTTTGTTTGTTTACGCGAGAGTAAGCTCCCTTATACTCGAAGAGGATTTTTACGTCCACATCACGGGTGACAGAGCTAACAGGGTGGGCATTTGTTTATTTTTGGCTCCCTAGGGCTTCCGTCGCAGCTGACGCGAAAGGCACGGCGGAACTGGATGCGGCGCGTTGATTTATTGCAGTCCGCACGTCCAGTTTCCGATTTCTTGGAAGTGAGAACTGTCCGCAGGAGAAGCGAAATCACAAGGTTTTAAAGTCGCTGCTGTGGCTCCACGCATGCCCAGCCATAAGCAAAAGGCAACTGCTGGAGTTCGTGCTCTTTCTAATAGGTGTTATTTCATGCGAGGAAATAAATTGTGAGCTAGAACTTTCTAAAATGCAGCTCCGTGGAAATCAATGCGTCTTTCGCGCGCAACCGAGCACTGGATTTGGGCTGGGAGAATCTCGAGGCGAGCGCAATTTAAAGTGAGCCACGTCTGCTGCAACCTACCAAGTGTTCTGCATGGAGTGGGGAGTCGGTGGACCTAGGAAACTCTTAAAAGGAGAGTATCACATGCTTCTACCAGGTTTAAAAGAGTGAGGAGGAATGAGCTGTCTTTCCCATTGGAATTTGAAGGCGCAAAGTTGTTTTTAAAACGTTTAGAAGGGACTTTTGAAAAACCATTCCCATAGCCCTCAAAATACGACTGGAATGGGAAAGAGCAGAACGTCTATTTTTATTTTTACATTTATATCCCGCGCTTCCTCCAGGGAGCTGAAGGTGGAATACATCGTTCTCCTCCTCTGCATTTTGACCTCCCAACAATCCTGTGAGGTAGGCTAGGCCGGGGGCGAGTGACTGGCCCAACGCCACTCAGTGACAGCTTCCCGACCAAGCCACTGGGGATTTGAACCCCGGTATCTCCCAGCTCCTGCTCCGACACTCGAACCGCTGCACCACACTGCCTCTCTCCCTTGCTGCTTCCCTCGGATGAACACCCTGCTGCTGCTGCTCTTCCGCCCCGAGAGGGAGTTTTGAAAAAGGAAAAGCGGGAGGGGCGCCGCGAACTCGGAAGTTCCCTGGCGAGGCAGTAAGATGCGCCAGTCTATGCTTCGTATCTCTGGGGGAGAAGGTGACGACTGCAGAAGGAGGAAGTTACTTCCGCTAAAAAAGGCGGGAGTGGGTGGGGCGAGGTGAACTACACTTCCCAGCGCCCTTTGCGCCCGGTGTGCTTATATATGAGGGCTAGCTATGAGAGGGAGGGGTACGAGGCGGGGCCGGCCAGGCCCTTTTAAAGGTCTGCGAGGGGGCGAGGGCGGCGGTGCTCCTCGTCAGGCTGCGGCGGGGACCAGGTAAGCGGGGGGCGCAGGGCCCTTTCCCCGCCCTCCCCTCCCGCCTCTCCCTTCCTTCGCGCGCCCTGGGGGCCTCCGCTGAGGAGAGCTGGCCCTGTTGAATGACTGCCTGCCTGCCGCTTGGCCCTCAGGGCGGTCCCGCCGAGACCTCCTTTGCTCGCTCCTCCCTCCCCCGTGGGCTCCCCTCCGCCTTGCCGGCCGGGCGACCTTCCTCCGCGCCTCGCTCGGGCGGCTGGCTCCGGGGCCCAGTCAGGTTCGGGGTCCGCCCCGCCCGCCCGCTCGCCCGCCTCCCTTTCCCCTCTATCTCACCCCAGCGTGAAGCGGTTCGGGAGTCTGGACTCGGGCCCAGGGTCCCAATCCTCCCTCGGCCACGAAGCTCCCTCGGGGCCCCCGGGCCAGTCACCGCTTCACAGGCTTGAGCCCTCTTTCCCCGACCCCGCACAGCGCTCAGGGCTGTTAGGGAATCAGTTGATGGTGCAGTGGTTAGAGCGACAGACCTGGACCTGGGAGACCAGGGCTCCTTTCCCCACTCGCCCATGAAGCTGGCTTGGTGACCTTGGGCTCAGCCTAAGCCTACTTTGCAAGGTGGTTGTTGGGAGCTGGAGAACCATGTAAGCCACCTTGAGCTCCATGGAGAAAATGGTGGGACATAAATGCAACAAAGAAGTAAATAAATAAGCAAGGCCTACACAGATGTGGTGGACCAGGTTGGTGGGACTCTTCAGGCACCAAGTATGGTATCGGTCCCTGGCACATTGTGTGTGGAATCGCTGGTTGCCCATCCCATCAAAGCATGGCTGTGAAATGCATTTGCATGTTTCACCTGCACCCTATTGTCTACTTGGTTTTGCTCAGCTGGTGGGTGGCTGAGGAGGGTGCTGTGTATCCCTACTGGGCCTTTGCAAACATGGCACGGGCACTCAGCTTGCAAGCCGTGACTCCATCTGGTCCAGGCTGGCTTTCATCTGGTTTGGGGTGGCTACAGGTAGCCCAAGCTATGGCAAGCAGCAGCCTGGTGTGGAATGTGGAAGGTCAGAGTGGATTGGGTTATACCAGGGGTGCCCAAACTTTTTTCAAAGAGGGCCAGATTTGATGAAGTGAACATGTGCAAGGGCCGACCAAAGTTGTTGAGCTTTTTAAAGAATTGTTGAGCTTTTTAAACGATTTAACCCCAAATTTGTTGACATATACTTCCACGGGGGCAAACTTAGGCTCCCGAAACGGACTTCAGACATGCCTGGATTACGCTAACTTTTCCTGTAGTATTTAACCCTGTTGTTGATAGGAGAAACCAGACTGGGTCAGCGGGAGCGGGGAGTTGATGGTTTCTGGGTCTTATCAGCAGAAGTTTGAACCCAGTGCACTGAGACCACTTGGTGTAAGAGCTGCACAGCATCAGTAAATGTTTCTTTCCTCTGTCTCCTCCTGGTGTCAGTCTACTGAGTTTAACTGCACTGTAGCATACCATAATCTGAAAGAAAAGCAGCTAAGCAAAGCTATCCCCACCCCACCCTACAATGTTTGAAGAAAGCGCAGTCAGGAACTGGAGAAGGAGTGAAAGGGGAGTTGAACTGAATTGTCTTATGGGGCAGATAAAAAAAGATGAGGCTTCAGGCAGCTGTTTCTTGATGCAGCAGGTGAAGAAGTAACAAGTATTTAATCCTTATCTGTGGTGTTTCTCATGGAAAAGCAAGAAACCAGTTTTGATTGCTACATTAGAAGCATGCTAAGCTCCCAGAATAAATGCTGCATTCTTTACTAGATATCCAAGTGAAGGAGACAACATAGATTCATATGTGGTTGAAAGCTGTTGGCACAAAGCTGTGTATGGGGAGCTCCTTGTATTGTACTGTGCGTGGCATAAAATCTAAGGCAGAAGTGGCTGCAAAGTTGTCAAGTCTGGGAGCAGTATTTGTTTATTATTTACTTTGTATTATTCAACAACTTTTCAACATGTGTGCATTCTTCCCCTACCCCTAGTTAACTTCACAGGCAAATTCTTTTTAGTTCCTTAAATGTGCTGACTGGGGCTAATAGGAGTTGTAGCTGGAAACATTGGGAGGGCACCAGGTTGGGGATAGTTGAACTAGATAGATTCCCAAGGTGAAGTACACCAACAGAAACAAATGAGAGAACCACTCATGGGTGCACTGAGTTCTTCTACTTTGGAAGGTGTGCGGATCTTTGATGTGTTTAACTTACAAAGCCTTGCAAGCTGAAACACATCAATACCAGATTAGTCATATTTTCTGGAAAATTTAAAGAGGCTCTAGGTAAATGCAGTCAGAACTGCAGGTATGTATATAGTCAAGGCAGGGCCACTGGACTTCTGAGTAGCAGATTTTGATGAACACATTATTTATAGTTACTTTAGATTTGGTGTAAGAAGTTGATAGCAAGGGTCCCAGAAGATCAATAAAATGCTAGTAACAGATTACCAGGATATGTTGAAAGGAAGGCCTACATTGCTTACGAAAAATAAAATACATAAGCACCACCAGCAGTTCATGCACTTTGGAAGGTGCCAGTGGCCTTATACTGTAAAGGATAAAGATAAAATGAAATTGAATCACATGGGGGGAAATCATTAGTTAAATTACAGAGGAAAAAAAATCAATTTAAAAACAGTGCTCTAAGTCAGAATTGTCCATTTCTTTACATCCTGCTGAAATAAAACTGCAAAGCAATTGCTTGCTATAAATCTTAATTAAACACATTGTTTTAAAACTGCATGGAGCCTTGGAGGGAACATCACATGTTTCTCAGATATTTCTCTTAATATTTTAGAAAAAAATACTTATTTATATTACCCATACAGCACAGTAATTGTAATTTTTAAAAGCAACTTCCCATTATATAACTGCCCAGACCATTCCTATCGCACAAAAAAATGAATTCCATCAGGAGCAAACAAGGGGTGGCAGTAATCACTGGGCAGCCCAGTTTTCCCTCTTCTGTTTAAAGTAAATGTTTGACAGGTACTTTGAGCCAGTTGCAGAGATTACTTAGTTACTAGGCATAAAATAGGAATGAAAGGTTAGCCAGATGGATCAGTAGATTACACTTGTGGTGGCTTTCCAGTACCTGCACCTTGTACCCTAGTATACGGACATGGAATTATTTTGATGACCAAGAAGGATCTCCTTTTACCCAGGTTGTTCTTTGCAAAGAAAATATATCTTTCATAAGAGGTCATGAATTGACCTTTTGTGTTCATATTTAATTCTAAACCATGTCATTTTAAAAGAGGAACTTGTAATTGAACTTGGTTTTAAATTGTTATTTACTTTTAAAATCATTGACCTATCCACCATAGAAGTTTTGGTGAATTCAGCTAGATGACAACAAGTTCTAGATTGTGTACATTCTCCGTGGTATTATGCAACAGTTGTTACTTTTTATGGTTTAATGCCATTTTTCATACTGTATTTGCTTTGATATCTTGTCTTTCTTGGGCTTCCTTTTAGAAATACATTAATGCCTTTCAAATATTAAATGAAATGAAAATGTTATAGTGTTCTAGGAAGACTAGGCATGGTTATAATGAGAGGGTGAAGTGTGTGACTCAAATTTGATTTCAGGAAAAAAATCTATGTCATATCTTAACCACAGATGAGTTAAAACTTGATGCAAGAGGTTTAGCTGAAACACCTAGTCCAGAGAACGCTGGTCGATAAAGAGGTCCAGGAATGGTTGCTTATTTAGAAAATTCCACATATGACAACAGCGTTGACATCTTTAAGACAATTACTGACTCAAGGTGCTGGATTTTAACTGGGGGTCAATCTTGAAGCAGTATTCAAGCAGTTAAAAGTTGCTTACCAACAAACCTGCCTGTGAAGTGAAGGAACCAGTGACTGTCAGCTCTACAAAATTAGATGCTTCATTGTTGCAGAAAAGTCCACTTGTCTGCATATGTTATGAAAGCACGGACAGCTACTCTGCACAACTACCCTTGAATAGAAAAGGAAATTGTGGCCCCAGTACTTGGATTCTACCAACTCATCAGTGGAAAATAGAGTGACTGGAAATGAAGCTTTGAAGGCAACATTCAGGAACCCTTAGCATACCACAGCTGCCAAACACAGAAATAACAAACACAGAAACACATGGGATAATGACAAGGCAAAAAATAAAAAATAAAATGCCTGGTCATATGTGGGAAAAGGAGACATTGGGCTGGTTTGCACAACCCTGTAAACCAAACTATGGCTTACCAACACCGTGTGAACAAGTGGACTGAGAGAGGAGCTTGCGGCCACTTTGCTCCTTCCTGGTCCATTTAGTGTTGTTCTGAGCTGCGCCAGAGTCTGACTTAGCATGGTTAGCTCTTTTTTTATATATATAAATTTTTTTTAAAATAAATTTTTATTAATTTTCCAACAAAACTATACAATTTTATCCAAACTTCAACAAATTAAATCTTTTTGGACTTCCTTCAGCTTCTCTGGTAATCATCCATAATTATTCTTCAGTACGCATTCCTTTCATTGTATTGCCATTTGTCTTCCCTCCCCCTTCTATTTCTTTTTGACAATACATCTTAACTTTTACAGTGCTTCTTGAAACCCCACTAGCGTTGTTTGCACATCACATACATTTTTCAGACATTCTACAAACTTTCCCCAGTCTTCGATGAACTTTTGGTTTCGCACATATCTAATTTTCCCAGTTAATTTATCCAATTCCGCATATTCTGTCAGTTTCACGCATGGTTAGCTCTCTCTTCACTAATTACAAACCTTGTCTGTAGCTGGTGGTTAGTGAGGAGAGAGCATAATCATGAGTTCTGCTTTGGTTGACCCACTAAGGCATGGGTAGGCAAACGAAGGCCCGGGGGCCGGATCTGGCCCAATCGCCTTCTAAATCTGGCCTGCAGGCGGTCCAGGAATCTGTGTGTTTTTACATGAGTAGAATGTGTCCTTTTATTTAAAATGCATCTCTGGGATATTTGTGGGGCATAGGAATTCGTTCACCCCCCCCCAAAAAAAATATAGTCCGGCCCCCCACAAGGTCTGAGGGACAGTGGACTGGCCCCCTGCTGAAAAAGTTTGCTGACCCCCTGCAGTAAGGCAAACCTTGGTGCAGCAACAAAAAGGACTTGGAAGGAGCAAAGTTGTCTATGAACAAATAGCTTGTTCACATAGTCTTGGTAAGCTTAGGGTGTCAGGCGAACCAGGTCTGAAGCTAAAGGAATATCTAATAGCCACTACAAATGATGGGCTGACTTTAGAATAGTAGTACCACAAGACCATACATTAAAGCGGGGGGGGGGGGGGACAGCTTCCAGTGCTTGATTTCCCCCCTCAGAAATGTTCATTGATAATTAATAATGAATGGATGCCACTTGCAAATATTAGGCAAGGTTGTCAGTTTCAAAGTCTTAGCTTTGTTTACTAAATATAAGTAATATAAATCAAAATTAAGTTCTGTCTCTAGGAGGATCAACATTTTCTGATGTAAAAGACTCTGTGCGAATTACCCTAACTTGCATAGGAAATTTTTCTGTGAAACCCACAGCACTGCATCAGTCACCTACAACTGAGCTATAAACTTGAGAGGCTGTTCCTTGAAGTCTCTGTGGACTCATATCCCAGATTGAAATATTTCGTGGAAAACAAAACGAAAAGAATCCCTGCTGTGTCTCATGAAAAAGATGCTGGGAATGAATTCATTGGATTTTTATTTTTAAAGGAAGTGTCATAATCTTCTGGTTGATTACTGTTCAAAATACGTGAAAGTAGTTGGAAGTGAATCTTTCAATAAAATGTGAAGAGAATACAAATATGCAACATTACCTGTAAAATGTAGACAATACACAATTATTGGCTTAGAACCAAGGGTAAATCTATGAAGGAAAAAAATGACAGACTAACTTATCTAATTACAGGAAGAACAGGAAATATGCACGCAGGGACAGGTACGTTTTATAAGACTTTCCATATTAGTGATGGTGGGTGATAACAATTTTATATTCTTCTGTAATTAGATGAGTTATTTTGTCATTTTTTACCTTCCATGCATTTAATTTGTGCAATTTCAACTGGCTGGCTGCGTTGTGATATTCTTGGAACTACAGGGATTCTGTTCTTGAGGACTTCTTATGCACATCAACATGTTTTACTTTTCCCTAAATCTTCAGCCAGTCTCCTTGGGCTTAATCCACTAGATGTGTCTTAATGAGGACATGGAGTGTGACTAAATTGAGCCTGGAGGCTTATATTATGTATTTGAGCATGGCTAATCCGCTTTTTAGTTCACAACAATAACTTGTTGCATTAAGCCTTAAATGACGCTTCCTTTGTGTGCATGGAAGGAGTGTTGTGATCAACTTGATAGCAATCTTGGAATCTTTTGCCATGCATGGAAAGAGGACCCCCCCCCCCCCAAAAAAAACACACACCTTGCAATGGCTGAGAGAGACAAAACAGTTGTCAATAAAGGACAGTCTTCCAAGGTCGGCTTGTGGGAGCGGCAGAGGGGCTTGTCCATCTGTGGCCTGAGTTTGTATAATCCAGACTTGCTGTCACCTTTAGCATGCCTGGACTTCATGCCATCTGAAAGAGGCATTTCCAATTCACGAGCACCCCTTGAATGCAAAGACCTTGCTTCGTGCAGCACAGCGGGGGGGGGGGGGGGAGAAGACTGATGCTTAGCTGAGAATTGCAGCTGGCCAGTGAGCAACTTCCTCTTCCCAAGCTGCTGCCCTCCAGATGTTTCACGCTGCAGCTTCCTGTTAGCCCAGCCATATATATGATGCTGGGGGTAATGGCAGTTGTAGCCCCAAATACCTGGAAGGCACCAAGTTGGAGAAGGCTGCTCTAGAGCAAGAGTGGAGAACCTTTGCCTTCCAGGTGTGCTAGTCATGCTTGCTGGGGCTGATGTGGTTCAGCAACATCTGCAAGGCCAAAGGTTCCCTACTCCTGCTCTAGAGTCTCAGAACTGCATGGATTGAGGCAGGGTCCACTAAGGATGCAGATGTACTTATTTTCTTACATTTTAATATCCTGTGTTTCTTCTGCCTTGGCATTAAGGTCAAGGATGAATTAATGAGGAAACTGGGAAGGCCTTTGTGCATGCATGCTGCTGATTGGAGATGGGGGTAGAAAGTGGTTTGGGTATGCTGCCAGATTGACCCTATCTTTTCTTTTAAATTTTGGTTCAGCTGAGATTAATCCCACACTTTTTTTTTCTTTTATTGCAGCAGGTGCCTTCTGATGGTTCCAGTTGGAGGCCTACAGTTGTAGCGAGTGCCCACCCACCCCTCCCTTTTCCTCTTTTCCTTCCCCCCCTCCCCTCCCTCCCTCATCTGAATCTCCCCTCCCCTCCCCACCACACATGTTGTTGTGTACTTGCACTCACTAATGACAGCGTGGATCATCCTCCCCATTAGCCTCTCTGCCTTCTCGATCACTGGAATATGGATTGTGTAAGAGCTGTCTTGATTTCTGCCTGTGTTCTGCATGAATGACTAGCATGGAAAGTGTGTGTGTGTGGCCGGCTTGTGGCTTCCAGCAAATAAGCAGCAGGTTCTTTCTCTCCCTGAACTGTTGTTCTATTTAGGAGATTGCCAAAGGCAACTCAGCAAATCTGTCCCAAAGCTGTGCTCTGAATAAAAGTTCTAGCTTTTTGTGATAGATCTTGCTGACTCGAGGTTTTGCCCCATTACAGTTTAAACAGCACTTGGGCGACACTTTTGATTATTCTTTACAGTACATCAGGGTATTCTGGCCAGGGTGGACCCTGTCTTTATCATATAGGGCCTGATTGCCTGACAAAAAGGCACACTGATCACTGTAAGGGCAATCTTCCCTTCTGTAGTATTATTAAGAGCTTTTGGCTGCTCTTCCTCACAGCACCAAGGTGGGAAAGCTTCCCCTTTGAGAAATGTCAGCAGCTGTGGGGGTAGCAGCCATGGTGCTGGAGGGACAGGCATAAGTTCCACGATAACATCTTGTCTTCAGCTCTGCAAGGACTCAGAAATAGGCTGTGTCCTTGGCTTACCCTGCAGTTCCCACCTGCAGCCACTGAGAGGAAGTTCTCTCCAGCCTCATAAAAGGTGGTGTGTGCGCCACAACATGTTTGCTGAAAACTGTGGCAGGGACCCTGCTGTGTGCTGTTGTACAGGCAGGCCAGTCTCCCCCAAAGTGGAGACTCACAGGTGTGTTAGGCACCAGCTCCCATCAGCCCCAAACTCCTGGAGGGTGGCTGGGTTGGAGAAGCCTGTAATACACCTTTAGCATGCCTCCATTTCAGTGGGGACAGAATGGAAGGTGGTGCTGTATGTTGCTTTTATGGAAAGGGCTTCAATGTTTCCCAACTCTTTGGGCCCCGGCTCTGGATAGCCAGCTCAGTTAACAGCACTTCGGGAAAGTGCCCTTGTTTTTGGTCCCAGTTACACAGCGGCTGCCACTAATGATTGCTTGTGATGAGGACTACATGCAGCTGAGGAAACACTGCAGAGTCATAGAATTGTAGGGCTGGAAGGAACCCAAAGGATCATTTTAGTCCAACCCTGCAGTGTAGGAATCACAGCTAAAGAATCCCTGATAGGTGGCCATCCAATCATCTGTTTTAAAACCTCCAGTGAAGGAGAGTCCGCCTTCTTTGGGAGTCTGTTCCACTTAACGTCAGACAGTTCTTCCTAATTTTTAGTCAGAATCTCCTTTCTTGTAACTTGAATCCATTAATTCAGGTCCCCCCTCTGGAACAGCAGAAAACAAGCTTGTGTCGCCTTCCATATAGCAGCCCTTTAGCTATTCAAAAATGGCTATCATATCACCTCTCAGTCTTCTCTTCTCTCTCTCTTTTATTTTTATTTTTCAAAAACAAACACACTAATCACTCACAAATACAGAAATACAAAATAATAACCATAAAAAGGAAATAAAAATACATCCATGTGGCTTCCCTCCCCCAATACTCATCATCCCTTAATCTATAAATTCTTGTTTACATTGCATCTTATGCATCTCATCCTTAATATTCTTAATATAGTAATTTTTTCTAGTTCTACTTTACAAGCAATCTATACATATCGACATGTTGTTCTTAGAACAGTGTTTAATCATACAATCTTCAAAACACTGCCATTCTAACCCTAGTTTCTGATTTGTCTGGTATCTTATGGCTGCTGTTAACTTCATTCACCATTTCTATAAATTCAGAGAGTTTGCATATCCAATCTTCTTTTGTGGGTATAATATTTCCTTTCCAATTCTTTGCAAGTAAAAGCCTGGCTGCGGCTGTTGCATATAAAAACAATCTTTTCTTACCTCGTGGAATATCCTTTCCTACTAAGCCCAATAGATACGCCTCTGGGGTTTTTTCTGTAGAAAATTTGAACATCTTTTTAACCTCCTCATGGATACATTCCCAAAATTCTTTAACATTTTCGCAGCCCCACCATACAGTGGTGCCTCGCAAGACGAAAATAATCCGTTCCGCGAGTCTCTTCGTCTAGCGGTTTTTTCGTCTTGCGAAGCAACCCTATTAGCGGATTAGCGCTATTAGCGGTTTAGCGGCTAAAAGGCTATTAGCGGCTTAGCGGCTTAGAAAAAGGGGGGGGGAGCGAAAAAAAATCGCAAGATTCGCAAGACTTTTTCATTTTGCGAAGCAAACCCATAGGGAAATTCGTCTTGTGAAGCGCATCGAAAAACGGAAAACCCTTTCGTCTAGCGGGTTTTTTGTCTTGCGAGGCATTCGTCTTGCGGGGCACCACTGTACATGCATCATAGTCCCCTCGACCTCCTTACGTTTCCAGCAGAGATTGGATTTTAACTAACTTATTTTGGCGAGTTTTGAAGGTGTCATGTACCACCTATAGAACATTTTCATTAAGTTCTCTTTGATGGAGTAGCAGGCGGTAAATCTTATATCGATCTTCAAGAGCCTTTCCTACTGATCTATTTGAATTGCATGGCCGATGTCTTGGGCTCATTCGACCATTACTTCCTTTATTTCTTCGTCTTTTAGGTCCCATTCCAGTATCAGATCATACACTTTGGATAATAGTTTCTTATTGTTTTTTAATAATACTTTTTGTAATTTAGATTCTTCCTTTCCAAAGCCTATTTTTTTTATCGGAATTGAAAACATTATTTAATTGGTGGTATTGGAGCCAATCAGTAAGATGGTGCCTTATCTCCTCAAATGACTGTAAGTTGTCCAGTTACTTTCCATATTTAGTTTTTTGACTATGAACGCTTCGAGCGGGGACAGCCACCATGGTGTATTTGGTTCCAGTAATGGTTGGTATCTAGTCCACACCTTATACAAAGCACTTCTAACAATATGGTTGGTGAACCCTTGTGGACTTTTACTTTATTGTAACCAAGGTAGGTGGGACGCGGGTGGCGCTGTGGTCTAAACCACAGAGTCTAGGGCTTCCGATCAGAAGGTCGGTGGTTCGAATCCCCGTGATGGGGTGAGCTCCCATTGTTTGGTCCCAGCTCCTGCCCACCTAGCAGTTCAAAAGCACATTAAGTGCAAGTAGATAAATAGGTACCGCTCCGGCGCGAAGGTAAACGGCATTTCCGTGCGCTGCTCTGGTTCGCCAGAAGCGGCTTAGTCATGCTGGCCACATGACCCGGAAGCTATCTGTGGACAAACACCAGCTCCCTCGGCCTATAGAGCGAGATGAGTGCCGCAACCCTAGAGTTGTCCGTGACTGGACCTAACGGTCAGGGGTACCTTTACCTTTAACCAAGGTAGGCATGCCACCCATATCTGTTATCGAAGCTCTCTAAATCCAGTATGTCTGTTTTTTTCTAACAGAATCCAGTCTTTGATCCAAATTAGACACTGTGTCAGTGTTCTCTTTTCTCATAAGGCTTGATTTCCAGACCCTTGATCATCCTGGCTGCCCTCCTCTGCACACCTTCTAGCTTGTAAATATCCTTCTTAATCTGTGGTGCCCAGAACTGGACACAAGACTCCAGACAGGGTCTGATCTAGAGCCACCTGTTCCATGTGGGTCCAGCAGAAAAAAGCAAGAGCTGTTTGATAGTGGAATGGTCTCCCTTGGGAGGTTATGGACTCTCCTTCGTTGGAGGTCTTTAGGCAGAGGTTGGATGGCTGTCTGTCATGAATGCTTTAGATGAGATTCCTTCATCCCTGGGGTTGTTCCAGATGAACTTGGGGTGCCTTCCAGCTTTACAATTCTGATTCTATGACAGAAGCACAGATATTGATAGAACCCCGCAGAGACACAGGCAGACAGATGGGGTGGAAATGTCCCCACAGTGATATGGAGTCCTAACCCAAACACAAACCATCTTCTGTGGCAACTACAGCCCTGTATAAACAACCTGGGAGCAGGAATTTGCTTAGCGGTGGGCGGGTTTCAAGCCACAGCAAATCAGCTGGCCACTGCAACCTGTGATTTGTGTATTTGCTGAGAAGTTAGTGTTTTTGGCATTGATGTGGAACAACATTACACAGGAGCCTATAGGCCTGAAAGGCTGGTTTTGCGTGGTTTTCTTGTAGCGTTTTGGACAGGCAGCTGTGGCAGGGAAGATAAGGCTGCCTACAAGTCTCTCCTGCTATTATGAGCCATCAGCCCTCGGATCTGTTCTGGGTTAGCCTTGCTGCAATGGCTTCGTGTCCCCAAGGAAGCTCTCTCAAGGGAAGCAGCTTCCCTCCTCAGACATACTTAGGTGCAAACATAGGAATCCTCTCCTGCTGAGAGCCTCGCTGGACACAGACTGCAACTGGCTGGAACTCAGTAGTAATTTGTCAGCCTAAAATTGGAGGTGGCTGCTGAAGCTGAACATGCAGGCAAATTGGAGAGCCACGGTTGCATTTTTATCTTGTCTCCCAGATGCTTCTTTGGAACAGCCCTCCTAGCTTGGATCTCTTCTCAGCAGGGCCAGTTTCCTGGGTAAACAACACAAAAGCAGAGAGCAGGCTGAGAGTTCCCAAAGCTCACTGGATTGTGGAAATTTTCCAAAGTCCTTTGTCTTGGTGATGGAAATTTCCAGTCTTGGGGGTGACACATTTTACTGCTGCTTTATTGCTTACCCTGGGGAAAAGCAGTGGAGCAGGAATTGCAGTTCTTTGCCTGGGGCTGTTGATGCTTTCCAGTGTCCCCTCTGGTCCACTCTGAACAGATGGGAGCTTGAAATGGACCCAGAGAGTGTGTGAGCAGGGCTTTGGGCAAACACTCTCAGGCTGGGATACAAGGGATTCCAGAGCAGCAGGTTTAAGCAGTTTAAGGAGCAACACCAGCTGCTTCCCAGTGCCCTTAGCCTTTACTGGCATATAGGGAAGGGAGAGGCAGAGTCCTTTGAATCTTCCTTGGCTGCCTTAAAGACCTACACTGGCCCTCTGATAGGTCAGGGGAAAGGGAGACATTTGTCTTCATCTTAGTTCCTCTTAGGGGCAACCCGAGCAGGTTTTTCTTTTTACTTAGAACAGCTTAAAAGATGTTTGCTGCCTGTAAGCCTGAATTGTTCTTGGCATAAAAAGAATGATTTGAACACCTTCCAGAACTCTGTTGCCATTCTTGTGCATCCCGTTGTAGGCTTTTAAAGCTTATTTGTTTGTCTGCTTGTGAGTTATACAAAGCTAATTGGATGTGCTTCGCTTTTGGAAAGTCGGCTTCAGGTGGTATAGGTGATATAATCTTTGACAATTGTAATATAATTTTTATTTGTTGATCCGGCCCCATTTGGCTGCTATGCTCACACATAGCATTTCATGTCCAGTCCACCCTTAACTGTATTTTTCTGTTCTGCCTCTCACAGGTATGCCATGGCAGTAATGAACCACCATGTGTGTCCTGTTGAGAACTGGTAAGTCCTTTCATAAAGCAAGAGGACAGAGTCCTAGCTCTGGGGGAGAGCAGCTGCTCTGCATGCAGAAAGTCCCCGATTTGCACCATAGAATCTCCTGGTAGGGTTGGGAATGTCCCCTGTTGAAAACAAATCCTAGAGAATTGCTGATAGAGTGTAGACAGAACTGAGCTAAGTAGACTAGTGGTCTGACCCAATATAAGACAACTTCATACGTTCCTAGTCTTGTTAGCTTCTTAACATTCCTTGTCCTGCAAAACTGGCCCAGTTTCTTGTTTGTACCTCTTCTTGGAGCACGTTACATTGCCCGCTAACCTGTCCAAACTGTTGCAGGTCATATAATGAGTCCTGCTCTGCTGATTCTGCCAAGCATGGATACCCCAAAAGCTGCTGCACCTTGGAGGATGTCCCTTTGATCAGGTGAGCGGGGAAAGAATTGTAATGGATTGCAGGGAGCTGTTCTGGGCACAGAGGCTACCCTTGCATCCCTTGTGGGTGAACCAGTTCTGGCTGGAGTTCAAACTGGGCATTGCCTATATGAACATAAGAGCCTGTTGCATCAAGCCAATAACAGGTCTAATCCAGCATCCTGTTCTCTCACAGTGGCCAGTCACATGCCTGGAGGAAACCTGCAAGCAGAATTCAAGCGCAAGACCACTCTGTGAATCTGTCTAATCCTTTTAAATTGTCTAATTCTCTTTTAAATTGGTGGCCATCACTGCCTCTTGTAGGTGTGAGTTCCATAGTTCAATTCTGCACTGCATGAAGACGTCTTCTTTTTTATCTGCCCTGAATCTTCCAACATTCAGCTTCATAGGATACCCATGAGATCTAATGTTATGAGACAGAGAAAACTTTTTCTCTATGCCATGCATAATCTTATAAACTTCTGTCATGTCAACTCTTACTTGCCTTTTCTCGTATTGTACTTGGCTTGGTCAGAAATAGCTGTTTTCCCAGTTGTGCCATCTTACAATGACTTCAGAAGTCCATCAGTTTGGCAACATCCAGGCAAATGTGTAGAACAAAGGCATCTTTGCTGGTTTCTCTCAGCCATGCTAACATTCTCATTCTTTTCCCCCTGCAGTAAATGTGGCACGTATCCTCCTGAAAGTTGTCTCTTCAGTCTTATTGGGAATGTTGGGGCTTTCATGGGTAAGTGCTGCTTCTCCCCTTTCTTCACATCTGGCCAGCAAGCATCAGTAGACAGCATCCATTCCCTCCTGAAGCATAATCTTCCCAGGATACGAGCCCCTGAGATAGAGGCTTTTCCAGAGCAAGTGCCTGACCTTCAAGGGGCATACAGGAAGCCGGCCTGGTTGTAGAGGAAACGGCTTCTGCTTGCCAAATGTGGCTAAAGGTTGTCTTGTGAAGAGCCGGGGACTGAGGGAAACCCCAACCCACTGCTCAAGGGTCTGTCTTGCATCCAGGGGCCTCCTGAAGGTTGACAGATAACTTCCTGGAAACATCCACATCTGCTTAGTCTTTCTACACATTTTTATGCTGATAGACTCTTGAGTCCAGGGGCTTTCTTTCCTTTTCCTTTCTCAAAGCATTCTGCTATCAAAAATGTGGGGGAATGGGGAGAAATTTTAAACTTCTATGACCAGGCAATCAAAAGTGGTCTACACCAAGTAAAACTGAATTCTTTGACCTGTGTAATTGGAAAGAATCCATTTAACTCAGGCACAGGCAAACTCGGCCCTCCAGATATTTTGGGACTACAGCTCCCATCATCCCTAGCTAACAGGACCAGTGGTCAGGAATGATGGGAGTTGTAGTCCCAAAACATCTGGAGGGCCGAGTTTGCCTATGCCTGATTTAACTTATTGTGACTCTGAGTCACGGAAGACACAAGGGAACCAAATCTTCCACCCACTGAAGCCTGTGTTCACTCTTGCCCCTGGCTGCTGGGATTCCAGCAGGTATTGCCCACATCTTTGCAGTGGCAAGAGTGAGAAGCATGCTTTATTTTATAAAAATAAAAAGGTTGACATTTTCAAGAAGTTGGGCTCTGTACCTGGGGCCATATCCAGTACTTCCACAGAATTGCAGTGCATATAGAGTGTTGCTGCTAATTTGTGGGGGCATGAGGGGGCCCCCTGTGCTGCATGGTATGTCCAGTGAGTGTTGTCTCACAACTTGGAGCAGAATCCATGGTGCCCTCTCCTTAATCTCTCTTGCTTCCCCCAACAGTGCTGGTGATCTGTTTCCTTCGCTATGGGCAGCTGATAGAACAGAGCCACAGTTCCTGGGTGAACACAACTGCGCTGATCACAGGCTGTACCAACGCTGCTGGCCTGGTTGTGGTCGGCAATTTCCAGGTTGGCAGAAATTTGGGACAGGGAGGGGAGGCAGCACTGGGTTTCAAAGCAGCTCCCATTTGGGAGTGACATAGTTGAGTTCCTTTTCACCTGGAGTGACCTCTTGCCTCTGGCAAGGCTGGATTATGGCCATAGTGGGGGTGGACGGGGCAAGAAGCAGAGGACAGAGGATTTTATTTATCCAGTCACCCTAGGCAATATGTACCATCTGCAAAGGCAGCCCCACCCCACGTACTCTGCGTTGGAACAGCCTAATGCACACATGGAGGAGATGCACTTTGGAAAGCTACTGACTGGGGGATGAAATGAGGGAGGGGGTGGCTTGAAGCGACTGGGGAGGGAGCCTTCCCCCAAAGCAAAATTCTCTTGGCACAGCCATTTTCACTGTAGTGAGGCTGTGCAAGAGAATTTCCTTTGTAGACTGTGGCCCCTGCTTGCCAGCAGGTGTAGGGGAAGATGCCATTTGACTTGGTGAACCCATGACACTTTGGCGGGATGGAAGACTTTTCTTAACTGCCTAAAAATAGAATGAGGAGACCTGCCTTCTTAAAAATAATAATGGGAAAGGTCAGGCTTCCACAATGGAACATGATTGCTCCAGGACCTGTGTTTGGGCTCTCCTTGTGCTTTAGGTGGACTATGCCAAATCCCTTCACTACATCGGAGCCGGTGTGGCCTTCCCGGCAGGCCTGCTTTTTGTCTGCCTTCAGTGTGTCCTCTCCTACCATGTTGCCATCTCTGTCCTGGACTTCTGGATGGCACATCTACGTGTCTTCCTTACCACTGTGGCCTTAATTTCCCTTGTCCTGAGTATCCTTTTCTGGTGGCAGGGGCCGGGCCACTTGGTGGCAGTGTTCGCTACAGGGGGACACCCATTCCTCTAGAGAATTCCCTCCTTTCTCACACAGGATTTCCTTTCTCCTGGGATAGGTGATCACTTGAAGGGCTTCACCATGGCTGTGTTATCCTGTGGTTCTTCAGCTTGCCCTCTTCATACCTGTGCTCCCAACCCTGTCCCTGTGCTTCTCTTCCGGCCAGAGACAAGAGGACCTGCAGCCTCCCCGCTAACTCCTGTCCCCTGACCATGCTGGCTGCAAGGGCTGGGGGGAGTCTGCATCCAGCAACATATGGAGAGCCACAAGTTTGCTATCTAAGCTTTTGGGCAGGTATGGGGAACCTTTGGCCCTCCAGATGCCACTGGTGCCAATAGATGTAGTTCACAAACAATTGGAGAGTCTAAGTTTTCCACACCTTATAGGCATTTGTAGTTTACACACACAATTAATTGCCTGGGTGTAGTTTCAGGAAGGTGCTCTGATCCACTGCTTCAAACTGGGCTCAAGATCTTGTTTGTTCATGTGCTGGGAAGGGGTTGCAGCCAGCTAGCCAGCCCCTCATCCTCTGCACACATCCCATTTGCCACAGGTGTCTCAGTTCCCTTTCACATTTGGCCAAATGTATAGATCCTTAAGGAGGTCACGACTTCTCAAACCAAAACTTTTTTTTACGCAGGTAACTTTATGCAGTTGACTGCCAGCCAGTTGAAATTACACAAATTAAATGCCTGGAAGGCAGAGAGCTTAAAAGCTCTTTTTGCACAGAGTTTCCTGTCACGGAAAGAGCTTTTAAGCTGCGTTTTGGTCATCAGACTCTGGGAGGGTCTGGCAAGATCTTGCGGGAACTTGGGTGGCTCTGCAAGATCTTGTGAGAGCCTCCCAGAGCCCAGTAAAGCAAACCTTGCTTAGGGGCTAATACCTGTTTGGTGCACCAGCTCCAGATGGCAAGATTGTTTTTGTGCCTAAGTGCCATCTCTGGAGTGTAACCCCCTGCCAGATGCGAGTTTGCTGTATTTACATCCTTTCCTATAAATGGAACCTTAGGAGGTGTCCAGGTGGTTCCTAAGTGATCTCCCATCCAGGTGCTGACCAGACCCATCCTGTTTAGTAGTTTTAGGAAGGTGGGGTCCACAGCCTGGGCCTATGGAGTCCTAAAGCACCACCAGAGCCCAACAGGTGGCTGTATCAGTTCTTTCTGTCATGTCTCAAGAGTGGACGGACTTCAGGCTTGCCAGGTCTATTTGTTTTTGTTTTAAACTATAAATCCAGGATATACCAGCCAGAGCCAGGTGTGAAAGACTCACACTCCAAATTAAAAACCGGTTGCTTCTGTATATAGACTGTGTATAGAATTTGTTTTAAGAATTTTAATGTAGCTGTCCTCCTCTCACACAAGAAAATCTGCTGGTAGCTTTCTTAATTTTAGCAGTATAACTGAGGAGACAAACGTTACTTTGAGGCTAGATAGGACTTGGAAAGCCATTCTAATCGATTGGAAAACATCCAGAGGTCTACTAGAGAGCCAGTGTGGTGTAGTGATTAGAGAGTTGGACAAGGACCCGGGAGACCAGGGTTCCAATTTCCATGTGGCCATGAAGTCACCTTGAGGACAAGCCATTACCTCTCCGCTTAACCTACTTCACTGGATTGTTGTGGGGATTAAAAGAGGGGAGAACTGGATATGCCACCTTGAGCTCCTTGGAGAAAAAGTGGGGTATAAATGCAATAGCTTAAAGAAATGAATAGTAAGTCCCAGTTCTGCCCACTCTTGCTCAAAGAGGGCATCTTCTGCCACCATCACAAAGCCAGCCAAGCCAACCCTCCTTCCGCAGGCATGCCTACTTTTCCTTGACTCTCCCACAGGTGGAATCTTCTTCATCCACGAGAGCTTCCTCCTGCAGCACCTGGCTGCCATCTGCGAATGGGTCTTCGTCATTGACATCCTCATCTTCTACGGCACTTTCACCTACGAGTTTGGTGCCGTCTCCAATGACACCATGGTGGCTGCACTGCAGCATTCGAACAGCAGGGGGTGCAAATCACCAGGCAGCAGCAGCACCTCAACTCACCTTAACTGTAACCCTGAGAGCATCGCTATGATCTGAGGGAAACGGGTGGGGATGGCTTTGCTTTTCCATCCCACATCCGGCAGCTTTGGTGAGCTGCCTTTTTTTCCCCCAATGGGGGAAGAGGGGCACCTTTTCCCTCCTGGGGATTTTAATTTTGTACCAAAAGAATTTTTTTTTAAAAAGAAAAATATTATTGCTGCCAACACTCCCCTCTAATTCCCCTGTCGTTGCTCAGTGTTGCACTCTTAAGGGAGGAAAGACAGTGCCTATTTGTCTAAGAGCACTGGATGGCAGGAGGCAGAACTCTCAAATAAGCCCCCACCTATATAGCTTGGATCATGACAACCTTACCTGAAAACCTGTCCTTGCTGGCAGCTTTCTTACCCAACCTACTACACACACACTCTGGGGGTTTGGACTACAGTTCCCACCAGCATGGCCAGGTGATGCTGAGGCTGATGGGAGTTGTAATCCAAAGCACCTGGAGGGCAGCGGGAGGTTGGGGGAGGTTGCCGCAGAGCCTGGCCCTCTTGCTGCCCCCCAGGGCCTGCAAACTGGTGCCAAAGGAAACAGCTGTTTCCAGATTCATTTACAAGCAGAGCCAGACTCGTTTCCCAAAGGTGCTTGGAATACAGTTTGGGTGCCTGCAGACAATGGCTGCTCTTGGAAAATATGACTGCATCTCACTGCCGCTCCCCACCTACGTTCCTTTTGGGGTGATAGAGGGACCTACGTGAGCTGCTTGAGCAAAGAGGCAGGGAACAGGTGGGTTTAGTGAATGAAGGATACCTCCCACTACTCTCTGGGAGGTGACCACCACCTCCATACCTTGGCCTGTAAGAAGTAATGAGGTCTCGATGCAACAAGAATATTGATGCACCTGGGGAAAACAGGGTGCAACAAAAGGAGACTCTGTCTTAGGGAAAAGACGAATGTCCCCACCCCAGGACTTGGCACACTACCTAAGGCAGATTTCCACAATCTGTCCCATAAGTATCTGGGCTGAACAGGGAGGAGGAGGATTCTGTTCCTCAGCCCCCCATGTCTGAGCTGGTATGTTTGGGTAAAACTGTTTTGGTATTTTTTAGAAGTTTTTTTTATATATCTCTATATAAAATGTGTATAAAGAGAGTTGTATCAGAGCAGCGCTGCCTTGTCTGATGGGTGTGTGTGTGTCTACGTGTACAGCAGCAGGAGAAGAGCATCACAAGCAAGGTGCCACTGCCACACCCTGTGCACATCCAGGAGTTGCAAAAGGAAGAGTGCCTACAGAAAAGGGAAGGGGGTACACCTGAGGCACCCCCTCCCCTGCTTTGTCGCTTAGGAAGTGGGTCGTAGAGGAGGCTCCACTCTGATAAATGCAATTTTGTCTGGAAGGCAACAATAGGGGACTGCAGCTTCTAACTGCTCTGAAATCACACACTCCAGGCAGAAGGGGAGAGTGCCAGAGTTTGGTGTTATTTGGTTACTGTTGCAGTACAGTGGTGCCTCGCAAGACGAAATTAATCCGTTCCGCGAGTCTCTTCGTCTTGCGGTTTATTCGTCTTGCGAAGCACGGCTTAGCGGCTATTAACGGCTTAGCGGCTTTAAGAAAAAGGAAACAAACTCGCAAGAACTCGCAAGACGTTTCGTCTTGCGAAGCAAGCCCATAGGGAAATTCGTCTTGCGGAACGACTCAAAAAACGCAAAACCCTTTCGTCTAGCGAGTTTTTTGTCTTGCGAGGCATTCGTCTTGCGGGGCACCACTGTAGTTTTCTGCTCCCTCTGCTGTCCCTGGGATTAGTCTCCACCCTGCAATACTACTCATGGACCCTCTAAGCCAGCAGCAGCCACTACCCTGCCTATCTGTTGGCCTGATTTGTCCCCTTGCCGTTGCAGACCTTGGGCCAAAAAAGGCTGTCCTGCATACTTTAAGCCCCTCCTGCCTATTTGCCACCCCCAACTTAGAGACCAAAATCACACATGCCAAAGGAATGGCCTTTTCTTTAGCTGGGTTTATTGGTTGTGTGTATTTCCAGTTTGCTCGCCAAAATGAAGGTCCAGTCTTATGTCTCTCTACACACAAAAACAGAGACTTGGTAATAGCAGCCAGCATTTGTACAAACATAGCACCCAAGGCCTGCTTCACAGAAGATGAGAGTACACACCTGCCTTTCTTAGCCACAGAGCCCTCTAAAGTGCAGGAAGAGGGGCAGAGGACCAGTGACCCTCCAGATATTGCTGGACTAGAACTCCCATCATCCTTTACCATTGGCCAAGGATGTTCTGAAGCAGAGGCACCATTTGTGAGTAGTTCCCAGTGATTTTCCAACATGGCCATGCCTGAAGATGCTATCCTTTCATCTAGCAAGCTACGCACAGGACTCATGCAAGCTGTGGGGATTTTGCATGATATAATGAAGGGTTGGGTAACTTTTTTGCTCTGGCAGACCAGATCTCCATCTCAACCCCCTCCCTCTCACTTTGACACTACTCACTTGTCAGTCATCTGTATTAATGGCATCAGACTGACACTTGTCAAGACAGTGCTTGCCAAACAACCAGCAATGAAGTGCCTGTCACGTGCTTAAGAGGCGCTTGCTGGGTCAGGAACTCTGGGTCAGGAACTCTCCCCTCTTGAGGATTCCAGCAACTGGTATTTGGAACTGCTACTGCCTCCCAACTGTGGAGGCAAAGTATAGCCATCGTCGCTAGTAGCTTCCATGAATTTGTCGGATACCCTTGTTAGTCATCCTAGCTGGTAGTTTATGTTCTGTGTGAAGTCCTGAATCTTCCAATGTTCAGCTTTACTGACTGCGCACAAATAATTATGTTATGAGGAAGAAAAACTTTATCCACTTTCTCCCTGCCATGCATAATTTTATAAACTTCTTTCATGTCACCTCTTGCTCACCTTTTCTCTATAAACTAAAGGGTCCCTAATGCCGCAACCTTTCCTCACAGGGGAGTTGCTCCATCCCCTTGATCATTTCGGTTACCCTTTTCTGATATTTCCAGCTCTGCAATATCCTAGGTGAGGTGACTGTAACTGTATAAAGTATTCCAAATGTCGCAGAAGAGATTTGTATAACAGCATTATGATCCCAGCAGTTTTATTTTCAACTCCTTTCCTAATGAAACCCAGCATGGGATTTGAATTTTTCATGGCTCCCACACACTGGGTCACAATCTTCACAATGCCAAGGTCTCATTCATGGCCAGTCACCGCAAGTTCAGACCCCATGAGTGTATACATATGAAATTGAGATTATTCTTCTTGACATGCATCGCTTCTGCACTTGTTTAGATTGAAATGCATTTGCTATTTTGGGGGGCCATTTGCTCAATGGGGAGAGGTCCTTTTGGAGTTTTTCACACTTAAATACAAACACCACACTGAACAATTTTGTATTGCTAGCAAACTTGGCCACCTCACTGCTCAACGGCTCACCCCTAACTCTACATCTTTCATGAACAAGTTAAAAAGTGCAAGGTCAAATACCAATCATTGTTGGGGGAGGCACTCCACTTTCTCCATCCCTCCATTCAAAGAACTGCCCATTTATTCCTACTCTCTACTTCCCGCAACTTAACCAAATCCTGATGTACAAGAGAACCTCTTATTCCATTACTGCAAAGCTTAACACAGACATCTTTGATGAGGTACCTTGTTGAAAGCTTTCTGAAAATCAAAGTACACAGTGTCAACTAGATCACATATCTATATACTGTTTCACACTTTGAAAGAACTTGAGTTGCCTGCAAATACCCGCAAAACAACCTGGCAGGCCAAAATTGGCCCATAAGGTGAAGGCATGTCTCTTCCCAGGTATTGTAAGAGTCAGCCCAAATCTTGCCAGAGGAAATGGCAAGAACCAAATCGGGAGAAGAGACAAGTAAATAAAACTGGAGGGGGGGAGCAGACAAAAACGGGTAAGGAGAATTTTCTTGATTTACTGGCTGCCTTGCGTTTTGAGCTGTTCTGCCTTCAGCTCCTGGCCACCTCCCCACAAATGCTGCAGGTTCTGGGGCCACAATGCTTTCCCCCAGAGAGAACACACCCTCTGCCTACTCTGCCCTCCACATGATTACATACTTGTGCGGTGAGGGAAACTACAGCAAGAGAAGTTACTTAATGAAGCCCGACATTTATTATGGATGTGCAACAAACTTTTGGAAGTGGGGAAGGAAGGAGGGCTGCTGCCTTTCTTGGCCCTGGGGGCGCCCTGCTTCCTGGCAATGTGGAAGAGATTGTGGTTGTCAGCCTTGAGCTGGAAGGAGAGGCAGAGGGCATGCCTTCCTCACGTGTACATGGCACCATGCAGATACTCCAGCCGATGCGCCTGCTGTTGCCGCCGCACCTTGGAAAATAAAGGTAAATATGAATGCCTCCGGCTCTATTCACGACTGACACGTGGCCCCCAGGTGGTTCTCCACAAGATAATGCGGCACCTCAGGCCAAAAGGCGTACATCTAACCCCTGCACCTGCCCACAGGGATCAGCACTCACCTTGTCCTTCTTGTACTCTTCATACTGTTCGTCGTCAGTGGGCAGCTCATGACGGCAGAGAGGGCAGGAGTTGGTCTGGGCAAGGAGAAAGGAGTTAGCAGCAGCAGCCTCTTGAGAAAAGGGAAAGGGTGGAGGGAGCCATCCCAGGTACCAGAGAGGGAATGTCCCTGTTCCAATACTTCACCTTTCCAAGCCAGGGAAGAATACAGCCTTTGTGGAAGATGTGCTCGCAGGGCATCTTCCTGACCACCTCTTCCTCCTCAAACTCCAGGAGGCACACCGGACACTTCAGCCCTTTGTCTAACCCCCACAAGTGGTTGGAGAAAGGAAAAGGCAGAAAACAGTTCCATCAAGTTGGCTCCACTCTACCAAAACACAGCACGGCTACACCTTTGCAAAGCTCAGAAATCCTGCCAATCCCATATTTACAAGCATTTTATTCTAATTGGATTTTTCTACTATAAGATTACTAGTGGATTATTGCTACTACAAGAGCAAGCATACATGATGGAAAAGCTGGGTAAGCCAAGCACAAATACTCCATCCTCTGGATGCCAAAGCCTTTGAACAGATGCTGCCAGAACATCAAAAGTTTAATCCTCACACCTGGGAGTCGTGACATTTTGTGCCAGATTCTTTCTGGAAGTATATCCAATCAGAAAAGACCCTGCTAATAATAATAATCTGCACCAGAGCTGGTGGGAAACACTGCAGAGAGCCCTTGTGATGTAGCGGTTAGAGTGCTAGACTAGGACCAGGGAGACCAAGGTTCAAATTGCCACTCACCCAATGTACCTCACAGGGTTGTTGTGAAGATAATATGGGGAGGGGAAGAGTATACCTCACCTTCAGCTCCTTAGAGGAAAGGTGGGATACAGTATACAGTGGTACCTCGGGATGCGAACGGGATCCGTTCCGGAGCCCCGCTCGCATCCTGAACAGAACGTAAGATGTGACGGCACGTCCGCGCGTGCGCAGATCGTGTTTTGCCGCTTCCGCGCATGACATCATTTTGAGTGCGCATGCGCGAGCGGCGAAACCCAGAAGTAACGCGCTCCGTTACTTCCGGGTTGCCGCAGAGTGCAACCCGAAAGCGCTCAACCTGAAGCACATTCCACCTGAGGTATGACTGTAGATGTAATAAATAAAACTTTTTAAAGGTGACCTTTTGAACTTCGTCATGACCAAAAAGTAAACCTTGAGTATACAAACAGGAAGGCAAGCAAGGAAGAGCAGTAGGTGCTCAGCAGAGGCAGGAAAACCAGCAGGCAGGGAAGGTGAGAGATGCACCTTATTGCTGCTGAGCTTGAAAATGGGGGCAGAGCTGCTGCCATTGCAGGTGGAGATCAACCTACGTCTTGCAACTTTCCCCCAGTTCCCCAGGCAGCTTTTGTGACTCATCTGGACCATCTCTTCCACAGAAATTGGGTTGGACACTTTCAAAGACTGAGAGGTCTTGGAGACACAGACACTCAAATTCTTGTTACTTTCTTAAATGACTGTGCCGGCTGGGGCTGATGGGAGTTGTAGTCCAAAACACCTAGAGAAGGCTGACATAGACTGTCTTCTAACCACAGCTCTTGAAGTGCTGAGAAATACAAGGCCCAGATTGAAATCAAAACTATTACCTGCTTGCTGCGGGGTAACAGGCACTGAAGGAAGGCTCTCTACAGCTTGCTTGGCAGCTGGCGGGGGGAGCCGGTGGTCCCAGTCTTCACTCTCCAAGAAGCCCACATCAATCTCCAGGCCATTGAAGAGGGACCTGCATATGTTGGAGAAAAAGAGTGTGAGCAGCCACCACTGGGCTTCCTTGTCAGAGAGCTCATGATCCAAATTCCTAAAGAATGGAAACTCCTTACATACTTTCTGAGTGAAAAAATAAAATGAACTCATAATATCTGGGTTTGAGGACTGGAGAAAACATTGGTTTATAGAAAGCAGAATTCTTGGGTGCTATTTTGGAATGGATGTTTTGAATAATTTTCTATATACAGCTGAGAGGGGGGCGGAAATGGAAGTTTTCCTTTTTTCCCTTTTGGTTTGTGCTTTTATTTAGATTAGTTTGATAAAAAAAAATTTGATAAAAAAATATTTTATATTTGATATTAACCTTTGCATACGTTCTTTCAAATTCCAATTGTGACCCAATTTCCAAAATAAGGTGCTCAACCCTGGGGGATCTTCTCTGCTTCACTCACTGGGAGCAGCAGAGAAAGAAGAGGTGGGATTGTTATTTTACTCTGGAGGGGGGAAAATGTTTTCCTCAGACTTCTGAGTTGCCATGAAGGACCTCGGCTGCTTGTTGTGCTTGCTGCGAGTGAGACTGGGGAGTCACGGAGCATATGGAGGAAAGCGTGGGCACTGCAGCTCCTAATAAAGCTCTGGATTGTCTTGCACCCCCACGGCATGAATTACGGCTCCCCCCAACCTTTGCAGAGCTGGAGAGCACTGTTTGAGGTCGACCTGGGTAGACATTGAGCACAGGAAGCCATGCTTTCTTCACAGAAGGAAGCCTCGTAAGCTGATCCAGTAGCAGCAGCTTCCCAAAAAACCAAGTGAGGATCATAAACAGTGTGTTTTGGATGGACTTTAATTGGACTGAGTTTACGACCTGAATTTCTGGAATACAAAAAGGGAGTCCATTCCAGAAGTGGTTGAGAGCTGCATGGGTAATTGTATGAGAGTGTGGAAAGAAGTAAAAAAAAGACTTGGAAAAGTGGAGGAAGATGCAACTTTCCTTATCAGGAAGAATATCAGCATCAAAATGAAAATATTACCTAAGACCAGGGCTTTTTTCCAGCTGGAACTCACCTCTTTAGTGTGTTTCAGCTCCTCTGCACTGTTGCGGTGCCATTCCCTGGTGGCAGTTTATAATTTTTGGCCCCAGTGATGGGGTGAGTGGGCAAAGAAGAGAAGTCCCCCTCCCTTCAACAACTTTGGGTTCTCCCCCTAAAAAAAGGTCAACAAGTCCTGCCTAATATGCTATTTCTTTTCAAAACAATACCAGTAATAAGCATTTTAAGTTGTTTTAAACAGTGGCAGAGAGACATATCAAGATTCATTTGGCAGGGGAGGAAGCCAAGAGTTAAGTACAAAATTTTAACAGATATAAAAGACAGAGGCGGATTCTTACTATCAGATCTTGGATTGTATTATGAAGTAGCATGTCTATGCTGGTTAACAGAATGGATAGCTCTGGAAGATTTTGGATTATTGGATTTAGAAGGATTTGATAGACAATATGGTTGGCATGCATACCTATGGAATGATAAAGTAAGAGTACGTAAAGGATTCTTAAAACCACATTATAAGAAGCCTCTGTATAGTATGGATGAGGTATAAAAACCTGTTTGAAAGGAATACCCCACTATGGCTCAGGGGTCGGCAAGGTTTATCTTCCCTGGGCCGGATCGGTCCCGCAGAGATCCCTCCGTGGGCAGGATCACACGTGCGTGTGAGCGTGTGCCCCTGCGATTTTCGGCGTCTGTGCAGACATGATTTTCGGCGCTGCAGAAGCGAGTCCCCGTGCCGGTTTAGCGCAGCACGCGAGCGGGCAGCTCAGTTCGGGGGCGGCTCATGGGCTGGTCAAACAACCTCCGCAGGCCGCTTCTGGCCCATGGGCCTTAGGTTGGTGACCCCTGCTCTAGCCCACTGAAGCAAGTTCTATGAAGAAAATGAATATGAAAAAGAAATGGGGCACCTACAGAGACATATTAGAGATCGGTGAAGCAGGAGTAATGCTCAGAAAAAGAGAGGCCATTAAGGAATGGATAACAGAGTGGTTCCAATCTGAGATGTACAAAAAAGATAAACTGGAGGGACCTGCTGAAGAAAGTTCTGACTTTGAAAGGGGTTTAATGGAGAATAATGAAAAACTAATTTTAAAAATGTACAAAATCCTGCTGGAATAAGAAACAAAAGAGGAACTGCTCAAAGCTGCCATGATACACTGGGCAAGGGATGTAGGACACAACATCAAGATGGCATCATGGGAAAAACAATGGGTGATTAATATGAAATTTGCAGCCTGTTACACCCTGAGGGAGAACTATCTAAAGATCATCTATAGATGGTACTTGATCCCAAGTAAACTTGCTAAGATGTGTAAAAAAAGGTTCTAATATACACTGGAAGCGCCAAGAGATGGAAGGTACAGTCTTCTACATTTGGCAAACATGCAAAAAGGCTAAAGGATTTTGAATAAGATATTCAAGTTGACGTTTAAAAAACCCACCAAAAACCCTTGGAATAAGGGAATTGGACGTCCTCAAAAAGTTGGTCAGCTTATTTTTATACCCAACAATGGCAGCAAGAATAATATATGTGCAAAAGTTGAAGGATGATGAGATACCAACCGAAGTAGACTGGTAGAATAAATTCACAAGTCTGCGGAGTTAAAAAGTTTAACAATGAAAATCAAAGACCAGGAGGAGTCAGTGTTTAGGGAAGAATGGAAGCCTTTCATAGAATATCTGAAGAACTATAATAACCATATTAATATGCAAGTAGGATATGAATTGTAAACAGCCGTGAAAAGTAGTTTAGATATTGAGGAAGGAGGCTAGTTACAATATGCAGCAAACTAAGGGGAAATAAGGAAACTATGGAGGGGAAGTTCACATTTATTAGAAAAAACAGTGGAAATTTAAAATGTAATGTCTGCTTCAAAATTCTAAATAAAACATTTTTTTACAAAAGTTCACAGCCCATGAGGAAATATGTGACATTTTAAGATTTTTGTGTGTGCATCCCTTTACACTTGCTTACACTAAATTGCATTTGCCATTTTGCTGCCCATTCATTCAGTTTGGAGAAATCCTTTTAGAACTCTTCACAATTCTCCCCTTGTTCAATGGCCGTTAAGTTTACTCAAGGGTTGTCAGCAGCATTTAGAAATCTAAGCACACATTGTACTTTGCTTCCCAAACCAGCAATGGGTGCACAATGGATGCAGAGTAAGCAGGTGTGCGTACACCGCCGAATCGTGAGGCAGGATTTACCCTTGCACAAGTCATCCTAGTTCTACTTCAGCAAAACTGGTACTTCTACATGCCTGCGAACTTGCTTTAGCAATGCTCCCCACCAGTTTTCCTAGAAGAGACAGTAAGCCAGTGGTTCTCAAAAAATTTTTCTCGGGGCCACACTTTCAGAATAAAAATGTGCTTGCACCACACCATGTTTTAAAAATGATAAAATACATTGGAAAACACAACTAGGATTGTCCACAGAATCACTTGATGCTCTTGCTCTCAGTTTGAAAATATATCTTTCAATATTCTGCTAAAAAAATTATATATGCTATACCATATAATACTATACTATAACAAAATGTTTAAATGCTTCTTTGATTGCCCTAGACACACTTCCTGACACGCTTGCCATCCTCTCCTCCCACACCCTTTGAGAACCCCTGCATTAAGCTAACCAGCCTATAATTTCCTGGATCCTCCCTGGGATCACTTTTTAATTGGTGTTGCATTGGCCAAAAAGATCCTGGGAGGTAAGAAAATACAGTGTGATTTTTATCCTGCTCGTTCCTCCTTCCAATCCCCCTTTTTGTGAGATGCCTTTGCTGTGGCTCCTTAGTTGCCCTGTGAACTAAGCCTAAGCACATGAAACTGAAACAAGACCTTATTGTTTCCATGTTTAACACATTTTCGACACAGGAAGCTGCCTTATTCCAGGCCAGATCATTGGCCCAGCTATTTCATTGCTGTCTTCACAGGCTGGCAGTAGCTTCCCAAGACTGCAGACAGTGGTCCCTCCCCAGCCCACCTGGAGATGCTGGGGAGGAAGTGGGAGGCCCTGAGCATGCAAAGAAGATGCTCCACCGCCCGGCTCAGGCCCTTCCCGTCCCGTTTCTCCTGTGTGGAGTTTTAGACTGTAGGTTCCTTGTGGGCGAGGACCCTGAACGCTAACCACACAATGTACAGCGGTACCTCGGGTTAAGAACTTAATTTGTTCCGGAGGTCCGTTCTTAACCTGAAATTGTTCTTAACCTGAAGCACCACTTTAGCTAATGGGGCCTCCTGCTGCTGCCGCACCGCCAAAGCATGATTTCTGTTCTCATCCTGAAGCAAAGTTCTTAACCCGAGGTACTATTTCTGGGTTAGTGGAGTCTGTAACCTGAAGCATATGTAACCTGAAGCGTATGTAACCTGAGGTACCACTGTAATATAGAAACAACAACGCAACAGATTCTGGAAACCTTGCCACGGCCAAGAAGCAGAACTGCAGGGAAGATGGGAGAGCAGGTCTACTAGTCGTGATGGCGAGAGGGAGCCTCAGGTTAAGGGGCAGTCTACCTGCAAGTGAGGGACGTGGGTGGCGCTGTGGGTTAAACCACAGAGCCTCTGGGCTTGCTGATCAGAAGGTCGGCGGTTCGAATCCCCGCGACGGGGTGAGCTCCCATTGCTCGGTCCCTGCTCCTGCCAACCTAGCAGTTTGAAAGCACATCAGAGTGCAAGTAGATAAATAGGTACCACTCTGGCGGGAAGGTAAACGGCGTTTCCGTGCGCTGCTCTGGTTCTCCAGAAGCAGCTTATGCTGGCCACATGACCCGGAAGCTGTACGCCGGCTCCCTCGGCCAATAAAGCGAGATGAGCGCCGCAACCCCAGAGTCGGCCACGACTGGACCTAATGGTCAGGGGTCCCTTGACCCTTATTCCAGCACCGTTTCCTGCTGCTCTCCCGGATTGTTAGCTATGCCGTAGACTGCCCCGGCCAGGTGAGGCTGCTGATCCCTTCTTTGGGCAGCTCTGTGTCCCGAGGCTGCCTTTCGGCTCTGGCCCGGAGGGAGCCCCCCTCTGCCCCGCTCGGCTCCCCGGAGGCCCACCTGGCCAGCTCCAGCAGCGCCTGGCGATGCGGCTCCTCCTGGCGGGGCCTGGCGCCCGGCTCGCAGTCGTGCTCCTCGAAGTAGGAAGCCATGGCGGCGCCTCCGCCCGTGACTCGGCTCCTTCCGAGGCCAACCACCGCCCGGCGCCCCGCCCGCCCGCCCTCATTGGCCCGAGGCCGCGGGCAGCGGCCAATCAGGGCGGGCGCCGAGACGCGGGGATTCGGGTCGTGGGAAGGGGCCTCGGAAGTCGCCCGGCGGGACTTGGCAGCAGGCGGCGCGGGGTGACGCCGCAGGGAGGCGGAGGAAGAAGGAAGCGGGCGGCCGGGAAAGCTCTTCCTGCTTGGGGCATTTCCCAGCTTTGCTTTCCTTTTGCGGGCCAGGCACGTGCGGAGCCGCGGCTCTGAGTTGTTGCATTCCTTTCTCTCCAGCAAAGCTGAAGTTTTATGCTCCGGGGAGGGACAGGCTGCTTTTTAAAAGGTGAATCCCCTCCGAAGCTCCGGGCAGCTTAAAGATGCTTTTCGGTTCAGGAAGCGAGTGGTCAGCCTTCCTCGTTGGTTCTCAACCTGTGGTTCCCCGGTTGTTGTTGGACTACAACTCCCATCATCCCTGAGCTCTGGCCTTGCTAGCTAGGGGTGATGGGAGTTGTAGTTCAACATCTGGGGACCCACAGGTTGAGAAAGGCTGCTCTAGATGATTTGGACTACAACTCCCATACAGCTGTGCAAGCTGGGGCCTATTAAAGTCCAAAACGTATGGAAAGCACCTGGTAACATGGGCGTGGACAGGATTTATGATGGGGGGCGGGCAGAACCTCAGTTAGTTAAGTATTTTCATAGATTTACTTGATGGGGGGGCAGTTGCCCCACTGCGGCTACGCCCATGTCTGGTAGGCAAAGGCTCTTTCAAACACTGGACGTCATTGGCTTGGGGAAGTGGGAGGCATTAGCCAGTAGACAGTGTGAGGCAGACAATGAACATTTCTCTGTCCACCATTCTGTGCTTTATAACTGCTTCTGCATTCCTGACATCTTAGAGCAAAAGTATAGCTTGCCAACCCTACTTTGAAAGGAGGAATACGCACACAAACACTGAACGTGGGCATGTTAATGTCACTAAAAAATAATAAAACTCAGTGCCATCCAGAGAAGCATCTGGCTGGCCACCTTGAGAATGGGACGCTGGCCCAGCCAGGCTCTTCATATTTCCTTAAATCACAGCACCATCAGGGACATTGCGGCTTGTCTGATAGCATAATGGTGGCCTAGGGCTGAAGCTCTGCCACCCATAGGAGGATTAACTGAGTGAATCACAAGATCCTCTTCCACCCCAGCAATTGCTAAGGTAATGTAGCAGGCACACTTCTGGAGCTGTGCTAAAGTTCCCAGGCTTTGTGCTGATGAGGAATCTGGAGGTAGTTCTTTATGTGTGGGAGAGGCAGCAGAAGGAGTGAAGGCCACAAACCTTGTAGGGGAAGCAATAGACTCTGATGCATATGTTGAAAAAATTATAGCAGCCTTGGCCACTGACAGGTCGGCAGCATGTGGTAGGACTTATTCTGGCAAAATGTTTTGTTGGAAATCTCTGTAATAATTAATCATGATTTGGTGTCATACCCATTGCTGGTGCTTCTAGAGTTTCCTCATGAAACTCTGATCTTCTCTCTGCTAGCAGCTACCAGGATGGAGACAGCTGTGAGGTGGAAAACAGAAAGGACTCACATATGCTCATGTGTGGGAAATAGCACTTTCTGAATGCTTGACCCAGCACAGCTGAGTGATTGACAGACAGTCCAAGAGGAATAAACTTCTCGGTGTATGGTCTTCATTTATTGTGTCACATATATCTTTATACAAAGGTCTACTTAGTGATTTTTTTGTGCAAGTAGATAAATAGGTACCACTCCAGCGGGAAGGTAAACGGCGCTTCCGTGCGCTGCTCTGGTTTCGCCAGAAGCGGCTTAGTCATGCTAGCCACATGACACGGAAGCTGTCTGCGGACAAACGCCGGCTCCCTCGGCCTATAGAGCGAGATGAGCACACAACCCCAGAGTCATCCGCGACTGGACCTAACGGTCAGGGGTCCCTTTACCTTTACTTAGTGAATTTATAATATATGTGTATCTTAATTTCACCCTATGTACTTGACAATCCAATAATCTGTATAGTATTCCAAGTTTTGCTTTCTCAGTTGTGTTTATGATATTATAAAAACCAATATGATACATTTTAAAAAAAAAACCACAGCACCATTACGACTACAGGAAAAAAATGGGTAGTCTGATACAGTGGTGTCTCGCAAGATGAAATTAATCCGTTCCGCGAGTATCTTCGTCTAGCGGTTTTTTCGTCTTGCGAAGCAACCCTATTAGCGGATTAGCGCTATTAGCGGTTTAGCGGCTATTAGCGGTTTAGCGGCTATTAAAGGCTTAGCGGCTTAGAAAAAGGGGGAAAAAAGCGAAAAAAATCGCAAGACTCGCAAGACTTTTTCGTTTTGCGAAGCAAGCCCATAGGGAAATTCGTCCTGCGAAGCGCATTGAAAAACGGAAAACCCTTTCGTCTAGCGGGTTTTCCGTCTTGCGAGGCATTCGTCTTGCGGGGCACCACTGTACTACCACTTTGCAGGGTAACACACCTTTGAAGTAAAAAGCTGAAAATGAACATCTGTAAACGTGTGCAGATCACCCACCTCCCATCTATGAAAAGCTTTTAAAAAAAGAAGTAAATACAAAGCCCTGGTGGGTTCAGGTACGGATGTCAGACTTGTTTGCCATTATCTGCTCTTCTCCGGATGGTCCGCCAGGTGGCAGGGACTTGATATTCAGTTCTGAGGTGCCATCCTTGCTGCACCACTATCAACAGGATGGTTAACCCATCTCTAAAGTTGCTAAAGGCTGTCCATTCCAGGTGTCTCCACCCCCCCCCCACCAGAGCTGCTATCTTGTCTGTGGAGCCTTCTATGACTCCAGAAACCTTAAGTTGCACAACTGATACCTGAATGCTCCTGAGACTCTGGCTCTGGGCAGGAGGTCCCTGGACAGCTGACAAAGAGGGGGAAAGGCTTCGACACGTCAGCAGAAGCTGCATCTGATTCAGGGGTGACCCATTCTGTTTCACCACCTGAGGCGAAATAGGAATTGCTGCCTCCCCACCCCCACCCCCTGCTGTGTCCCATCACCACTTCCACTACCACTGCACCCCAGCTCTCACCAAACTCAGTGAGAATCAGGGTGCTTCTCAAAGCGTTGTCACTTGGCTACTTGGCTGGCCTGGCTCTGATCTGATCTGATCAACTGCTGAATCAGCTGGATGAAAGGTTGAAGGAACTGGGTATGTTTAACCTGGGGAAGAGAAGACTTGAAAGGAAACATGAAAGCCACCTTGAAATATCTGAAGAGCTTCCATCCTCATGGAACAAGCAAGGTTGTTTCCTGCTGTTTGAGAGGGTGAGGCCAGAACCAATGGATTCAAATCTCAAGAAAGGAGATTCCAGTCAAACATGAGGAAGAACTTTCTGATGGTAAGAGCTCTTTGACAGTGGAATGGACTCCCTCGGCAGATGGTGGACTCTCCTTCACTGGAGATTTTTAAACACGTTGGCTGGCCATGTGTCAGGGATTCTCTAACTGTGGTTCCTGCATTGCAAGGGGCTGGGCTGGATGGCCCTTGGGTCATCTCTGCAATTCTCCCAACTCTGCAATTCTCTCACCCAGAGGCTCCAAACCCAAGGTGTGAATGCTTCAGGAACCAAATCTGGTTCTGGTTCCTGGCACACCGAGGAAAACAGAATGCTGGTCCACTACATCAGATAGCCTGAGAGGCACTGCCCTGCAGGACATGACCAGAAACCACTTTGCTAAACTCCCAGAAACCCCTGCTCTTGATCCCCAAATCCATCCTCACCTGAAACACTGCAGGTGTATTTCAGGTGGGCAGTCACAGGTGTTTGTTTTGTCAGGCATGCACCACCTAGGTACCTGCTGACTCTGAATCCTGTTCCCCTAACATTTACCCCAGGCTGTTCCAAAATTAGGGACACATTTTTTAAAAGAAAAAAGAAAACTCAGAATAAGTCTTTTGGTTTCCCTCAGAAACTGTGCTAGGATGCCTGCCACCACTTTGTAGGAGAGCCTTCACCAGCCAGCTCTCTTCCAGCGGGTTTTGGACAACAACTGCCATCATCTTCAGGCTGTAGCCCAAAACCTCTGGGAGGCAGCTGGCTGGTGAAGTCTGTCCCAGGACACTGTCCTCCACACGAAGTGAGGGAGAAGACAATCGCTCCATTATTGCTTTGCTTTTGTCCCGGATCCCAGTTTTGAAGATTTGCCAGTCCTCTAGTTTTGTGAGAGCAGCATATCCATCACAACAAATGGGAAACCCAATGCTTGCAAAGCCTACAAGCTGGCATGCCCATTAATCTGTGAACTGCAGCCTATTAATATCTAAACGAGCCAAGTTAGCCAGCCAGCTGGCAGTGTGAAGAGCCACCTGCATGGCATCTGTGGCCTACTGGCAGGCATTGCCCCCCCACCCTTTGGGAAATCACAATCCTGAATTCAGAGACAGGCTTCTGGCTCCTCGTCTTCAGCCTTGGGACCAGACCCCTTCATTTGCCGAGAACCATCTCTAGGTCATCATCACAACCCTATCTTCTTATTTTCCTTGCCCTTCCTCTATTGCATTGTCAGCAGATGTAGCAATTCAAGCACAACAACTCATTATTATAAAACAACCCACCTTTTACTGTTCTTGCCACAGAACACAGCAGAAACAAGAGTCTCCCCCCACACACATCACTGTTTAAAATAGGAGGCATGTTTTTACAAGTTAGCATTAAAGAAATTAACCTATATTCTAGTCACTTGCTAAGCTGAAATTGGAGGAGCACAGTGCTAGGTGGAGGCTAGGAGTGGTTTTGGCTGCTTCCATGCCAGTAATCCTTAAAATTATCTTCCTTATTATCCAGTGCAGCACATGTTATCCAGGCTGCCCCCTCTTCACTTTGGGCCATCTCATAATATGGGGCAGTTCTTGAATTGGTTTGTACAAAGGCATATATAGAGACCCCCTTCATGTGCTGCTAAACACAAGATCAAAACAAGGAGGAAAGGTGGGGCTAACTAGATCACTAAATAAGCAGCCATGTGCAAAAATAAAATAAAATAATGCAAAGCAATAATGTATTAGCGAAAATGGACAAACATCAGGCCATGCTCATTTCAGAGAGGGAAACAGCTAGCAAAGAAGGGCTAGCGTTCTATGGGCATAGCAGTAAAGCTGGTACCTCTGTACCAGATTTCACAGTAAAAAGATCCTGAAGTAAGGCACAAATTGCAACAGAGCATGTATTCAATATGAGAAGCGTGCAAAGGCTTGTGGCACCTGGAAGAAGATAACCTGCATGAATTTGGCCTTTGCAGACCTCGCTCTTGCTGCGAACCTTCCAGTGTCCTGCAACACCCACATTTAAAATATCCCCAGGCCTCCAAAAACAGGAGGGGGGTGGGCTGTTGTGCTCAGGTGCTTCATGTGGATTTCCCACAGGTATCTGGTTGGCCACTGCAAGATCAGGATGCTGGACCAGGTGGCCATTGGCCTGATCCAGCAGGCTCGTCTTATGCTCTTAAATGAACAGGACCATCATCCAAACACGGCTGTGCCCCAGGTCTCAAAATCATCTCATCCCCTTCTCTGCCACATTTCAGGGCATCCAAACTTAGCTGCCTGGGGCAACTGCCTTTGTTTGCACCATGATAAAAACACAAAACCTAGATTCTGTATACTTTGGCTAATTTCAGGAGTGGAATTTGCAGGATGCAGAAAATGACAGGACCTGGTCTGCCAACACAGAGACACACCTCCAGATTTGCCTGGGTATAGGCACAGTAACAGCGTAGGACCACATCATTTAACTTCTCATAGATTCTCTTCTAGATATGCAATATGCAAAGAAGCTCTGAATAGCATGTGGCACAGCTCACAGATGAATGGGGTTGCAAACATACAATGCTTTGCCATTTAGGAACGAGCACAAATATTATCTGAGCACTGTTGCTGGGCGCTAGAGAACGGTGGCAGCAGATTTTTCTCTTGCACACTGTTTCTGCTGCAACAAATCTGTGACCAAGTCCTGCTCAAGTCCATCCAGAACACACCAACGCAAGGGGCAGGAAGAGACAACCTGGCCTGCTGCAGATGATCTGGGAGTTGTCCCACTAAGCCACTCAGGGTCCACCATCACCCTTTGTTTTCAGAACTGGGGAGGGTGAAGTAAAGAACTATAGCCAGGATGAGGATGAGGACTCCTGCGACCACGCCCCCAAGGATGACCTTCCATTTCATGTTCTTCCAGCGCATCTGCCGAGCCACTGTGCCTGTTGTCTTGGAGAAGGCAACACTCTAGGAGGAAACAGAGAAGATATGCAGCCTCTCTTATTCATAGGCATACAGGATTGTTAATATCCCACCCTTTTTGGAGGCTCTCCAACCCAAACTATTAATTAGAGCCACACACCCCACAATCAGTTTAGGCTTAGCCATGCTGCAGTATCTGGTGCTCACAGATGGTTCCCACTGTAGGGAGTGACACTGTCCAGGGAAAGCTGAGGCCAAGGAAAGGTTATGCAGTTCTGAAACTGCTGCAGACACGGGATTTGGATCTGGCACTGGGCGAGGGGTGCAGGGCTTGGAGCACTTCAGCTTTGGTTGAAAGGAACTAAAGGAACTGAAGACAGTAAAGGCGGGCTTCAGAAGGTGCAGGACAGAGAGGGATAGGGCATAGAGTTTAGCTTCTAGAGGGCGTAACAAGATGTCATCTCAGCAAACAAATGGCCCTGCCTTCACACTTGTTGAGGTCACAGGAAGGGCAGGAGGCAGTTTTGGGAGAAGCACCCCCCAACCTTTCCCCTGTAAATGCTTTCTCCCACCACCCAACTCCTCCTGGAATCACTTTCATTTGCAAAGCCTGGCTGGGAAAATATAAAATGAGGCATTTGTAAGAGACAATAGACATTTGCCACAAGGAAGAATTAAAGTCTCCACCAATGTCCCACAAGCTCACCTTTAGTATTATGTGTGAATATGGGGTGTGCGTGCGGAATAAGTCATGAAAAGTAGTTTAAAAGAGGGGGTGGGAAAACTATTTAATTTCAGAGCTCATCTCTTGGAACAGCTTTTTTAAAAGGATGCAAAACCTTCATCGTACAAAAGCCCAGTGCTCTGATTATACTGCCTTATTGACACTGTCTTATTAAATTGTATTTTATAAGTAATTTTGGGGGAAGCTGCCTTGAGAAGCAGGATGCAAGTGTTAACTAGGTAGGTAGGAAGGAAGGCAATAAGATGGAAATGGACTAAATTTACACAATGTGGAATTACTGGGAAGGGTTTTGATTGCCTGGTACAATATGTTATTTTTTTAAAGCATGGAATCCACATGCTCCCTGCTGTTTCTGTTGAAATGTCATAAACCAGAAGAAAAGATTGATCTGGATTTGCTATCAGCAGCTCAGTGGGCAGAATTTCCATGTTTTCTACGATCCTGAGGAAAGGTTGCAACATTTGGGACTTTATAGTTTAGAGAAGGAGTAGTCAACCTTTTTATACCTGCCATCCACTAATGCATCTTTCTTGACAGTGCTCGATGGAAGGAGCAATAGAACCCCCTACCACCCACCTAGAATCCTGAAATGCCCACTAGGGGGCGGTATGGACCAGGTTGACAACCCCTGGTTTAGAGACAAGGTGTGGAAGAGGTGACATGATAGAAGCGTATAAAATGATGCAGAGCCTGGAGAAAGTGAGCAGAGAAAAGTTTTGCTTCCTCTTTCATAATGTTAGAACTCACAGACATCCTATGAAGCCGAAGGTTGGGAGATTCAGGACAGATAAAATAAAGCACTTCTTCCTGCAGTGCACAGGTAAGCCACTGAACTGATGGTCACCAACTTGACTGACTTTAAAAGAGGATTAGAAAAATTCTTGGAGGAGAAGGCGAATACCTGGCCGAGATGCTTCTGAATCCCAACTGCTGGAAACAGCAGGAGGGGAAAGTGCTCTTGTGCGCAGGTCCTGTTTGCTCGTTTCCCAGAAGAGGTGTCTGTTTGGCCACTATGGGAACAGGATGCTAGACTGGATAGGCATCTGGACCAGTCCAGCCTGTTCTTCTTATGTTCCTAGCCTTCGCGAACCAGGTATCCGACAGTGTTTTGGATTACAACTCCTACCAGTCCTGGCCAGCACTGCTGCCCCATCATTCCTTTCCCATTCTTTACTTTAAGAAAACAGCCCCAGGCCATCACAGCAATCCACAGGATCCTGCTATCTCCCCACATCTTACTTTAAGCCATGGGTAGGCAAACTAAGACCCGGGGGCTGGATCCAGCCCAATCGCCTTCTAAATCCAGCCCACGGACGGTCCAGGAATCAACATGTTTTTACATGAGTAGAATGTGCTCTTTTATTTAAAATGCACCTCTGGGTTATTTGTGGGGCATAGGAATTCATTCATTCCCCCTCCCCAAAAAAATATAGTCTGGGCCCCCTCCCACAAGGTCTGAGGGACGGTGGACCGGCTCCCTGCTGAAAAAGTTTGCTGACCCCTGCTTTAAGCTCTGCCAGGGAGGGGGAAGCCCAAATCAACTTGGGCCTCTTGGACTGTGACTGCGAGGGGCAGTAGAAATGAACTATTTTGTCCTAATAACAGCAATTACTAGACAAAATGTCTGTAAATTGCTGGAGCTGGTGCTCCTCCTTCTTTTCATGGGAGATAATATTAACTTACAGCTTGAACTTTAGTTTAATAGGTGCTCTTCTACTAGCAGCAAAGCTCATAATAACAAGATCCTGGAAGGATTTTGAGGGTGAGTCTCTGGCAAGTTGGTACAACAAAGTATGGCAAATAGCTCTTGCAGAATAAGTAAATAATAAAAGAAAATTGGCACAAAGCCTGACGCACAAAGACTCCTTTGTAATTGAAAGACACATTTTTATTACGTACACGGCTGAAAACAAAAACAGAGGACTCCCCTCACATTGTAAAACCTTTTTGTTAACATGACTTGTTTATCACCTTCTTTACAAGTAGTAGTCTGGGATTAGAACTCATTAGCTTATTTGGCTGATATTTTGCATGCATTACCTCAACACCAGCTTCTGGGTTAGGCTGGGATATTTAATAAAAAAGAAAACTGGAAGAAGGGAACCATTTTGGAGGGGAAGACCACATGATTCTCCTGCTGTCTCAAGGACTCTGGATGAAATGCTGACGACAATCTACTGCAAACAAGGGTCCACCCATCACTTGTGGGGTGTGCAAAAGCCTACCACCCCCAGAAGTGCCTTGTGCAAAGGAGCTGCTCCCTCCCTCCCGCCCGCCCCCTTGCTGTACCTGGTTGCGAAGTTCATCTGCCCTTTTATCCAGCTCGCTGAGCTTGCCCTCACGCTCCAGCACTTTGTTGTAGTTCTCCAGCATGATCTCTGTCACCTGCTCAGCCTCCCCCTGACATCGCTTCAAATTGTTTTCCCCCTGCAGAAAGACAAAGGATGATCATAGCAGAAGGAACTCTGGTCCCTCACGCTGTTTGAGGCTGAAACACAGCAGCTGAGTGAGAGGAGTGTACGTGCGTACAGAGATAACAAGGTCTTGGAGAAACCAGGACAGGAGGAGAGGACTGGGTCAGAACACCTGGTTGCCCTTTCAGGTCACAGGGAAGTCGGGGACCTTTTGCTCCCATGAAACTTGCCAGGGAGGCTCCAGGTGCAGACAAAGGCCTCTGGAGGTGTCACCTTGCCAACAAAGGTCCGTATAGTTCAAGCTATGGTTTTCCCAGTAGTGATGTATGGAAGTGAGAGCTGGACCATAAAGAAGGCTGATCGCCGAAGAATTGATGCTTTTGAATTCTGGTGCTGGAGGAGACTCTTGAGAGTCCCATGGACTGCAAGAAGATCCTATCCATTCTTAAGGAAATCAGCTCTGAGTGCTCACTGGAAGGACAGATCCTGAAGCTGAGGCTCCAAGACTTTGGCCACCTCATGAGAAGAGAAGACTCCCTGGAAAAGACCCTGATGTTGGGAAAGATGGAGGGCACAAGGAGAAGGGGACGACAGAGGACAAGATGGCTGGACAGTGTTCTTGAGGCTACCAACATGAGTTTGACCCAACTGCGGGAGGGAGTGGAAGACAGGAGTGCCTGGCGTGCTCTGGTCCATGGGGTCATGAAGAGTCGGACACGACTAAACAACAACAACAACAACAACAACATGCTGGCTGGGACGGATGAGAGACGTAGTCCAACAGCATCTGGAGGGCACCAGGTTGGCAGAGGCTGTTTTAAGTCATGGAGATGGGTGGGAGGGGGTTGTTCTGGGATACAATACCATCTTCTGTCCAAGATCGAACTCTAGTTCCACATATTTGTAAACCTGGATGCCTACAGCCAGAGCCGTCCCCAAACTTGTTTTCCCACTTTTTATGATGCTTTCATCAACATAAAGGAATGGTAAGATGGACAATGGGTTCAGCCTCCTAAATGCTGGCAGATTACCGTATTTTTTGCACCATAACACTCACTTTTTTCCTCCTAGAAAGTAAGGGGAAATGTCTGTGCGTGTTATGGAGCGAATGCCTACGGATGGCGGAGGGATCTGCTGCAGTCGTGAGCAGAGGATCCATGGTTCCCCCTCCTTCCCTCCTCCGTGGCTTGCTTTGAAATAGCAAAGCGGGAGAAGACCCACTGAGTGGGGAGGAGAGAGGGACAGAGAGCCTGCTTGCTTTAAAGGAGCAAAGCGGGAGAGGAGCCTTCTCCTCTTATACCCTCTTCTGCATTATTAACAGCATCCTTCTCCACCCACCCCACGCGTGTTCCTTGTCCATTGAGTGCTTTTCCTTCCCTCCCCACTTAAAACATGGTTACAAAGCACGGATCCACATGGATCCTCAGGATTTTTGCACTGGGTCACCCCAAATTCACCATCAGATCACATAGCATGTCCATGGCTACAGCTTGCACCAACCAAATCACGCACCCACTGTTGCCTGGGGCCGCAGTGGTGCAAAAACGTGGTTACAAAGCATGGATCCACATGGATCCTCAGGATTTTTGCATTGGGCTACCCCAAACTCACCGTCAGATCACATGTCTGTGGCCACAGCATGAACCACAAAAATCATACATCCGCTGTTTCGTTTAGAATATTTTTTTCTTGTTTTCCTCCTCTAAAAACTATGTGCGTGTTATGGTCGGGTGCGTGCTATAGAGCGAAAAATATGGTAATTGCATTTCAAAGCCAGGAGGAAGATGGGCTCCTCTTGGAGTGAGAGAAGGCAATGTGATGGTTGTTTTTGTTTGCATTTATGTTTGCATTTATGATGAAATGTACAATTGTACTTCAATTATTTTTATTTTATTTTATTATTTTTTTGGTAGAGGTTCTGCTGTCCTCTGGCAGGGGCTGCTTGGGCTCAACGGCAGGGACGGGGCTATCAGACGACTGCCCTAAAAAACCTCAACAACCTTTTGTGTCTGGATTCTTCCTCTTAAAATATGGCAACCCTATTTAAGCAGCCCAGCTCAGGTGTGTGAGACTGTCTGCCAGGAGCTGGAAATTTCTGTGCTCTCTTTGTTATATGATGCTATGAGTTTGCGGAGCGGGGGCGGCTAGATCCCCCATAAATGTGTCATGAGTTTGTGGGGGGCCAGATCCCCCTAAATTCTTAGATTTAGTAAATGTTAGGAAAAAATGAATGCTTGGTGTATTAATGGAAGCTACTAGACGCTGAATCCAGCAGCAGCAGCAGCAGCAGCAGCAGCAGGCAGGCCGGCCAGTTTCCCATGCTCAGGAGAAGATGGGTCATTATTTAGCAAGGAACAAAGAGAGCGGAATACTGGGCCATTGAGAATGATTGGCAGTGCAAATGCTGCCAACCAGCCCAGAACTGTGAGGGGAGAGAGACTTTCTGCTGGTCATTAGGCAATGCCTTTTCCACCTGCCTCCCCTCACCTTCCAGCCCTGGGAGCATTTCCTAGAAATAATTTTGTAAGTTTGTGTCCTTGTCTCTCAATTTAACCCTTTTATATGGTTCTGTAGGTTTTGTGGTATTTTATGCACTGTGATTTGCACTTATTTTTAGTGATTATAGATTAGCAGTGCTTTATTGTAAATGTTAAGTGTAAACTGTTTAATTATTATTTGCTGATGTTTAATTTTACTGTTTACTATTAAATTCTAATGGATTATTGAATATTGCTTTATTTGATATAAGTTGTTTATTTTAAAGTTATTGTGACTTTTTATAATGGATCAGATTGTTACTATTAGGGTAATGTTTGATGTTTTATTCTGTTTTTATATGTGTTGGAAGCCACCCAGAATGGCTGGGGCATAAATAAAAAATTGTTGTTGTTGTCCTATTAATTCCTAAAATTCCTGACTTCCCCTAAGAATCATAGAAATGTAGAGCTGGAAGGGACCCAATGGATCATCTAGTCCAATATTACTGGGTGATATCCTACAAAGTCTTACTCACAGTAAACCCATATAAATTAATGAGTCAATTTAAGCCCATTAATTTCAGTGTGTTCTGAGTATGACTAACTCTGGTTATCACCCATTAACTTTCTAACCAGTGAGTAAGCCCCATTTCTTTATTAACAATTCTACTTCAGCTACAGATTCCACTGGATCATGTTAGCAAAAGAGCTACATCACCCACACATTATTTTATTTCCCCTCCCTTTCCTTCAGTTTCACCTCTTTTACCTTTTTGCCCCCCCCCCCCTTTACAAAGGAACAAACAAATGTGCTAATAAATGGCATCCCTGACTTGTCTCCCCTGTGAGGTCAAAACCCAGTGAAATAAACCCATTAGTGCATATTTTTGCTTTGTTTATTTTGAAATGTATGTGCTCTTCAACACCTGACCAAATTATAAAACAAAATAAGCATAAAAAATGCAATTATGGTAAATAATTGCAGCAGAGCTGTACAAACACATGAAAAGCAAATATTTAAAAAATCACAAAGTGAAAACAGCATCTTAAAACCAGCTGGTTGGTGAGCCGGAAAGTCTGCTCTGCCTGGTGGCATAAGGCCATCAGATTTAGTACCAGATGAGCCTCCTTGGAAAAACCAGTCTGCCTGCAGGGACCACAACAGCGAGGGGCCTCTCTGCCTGCTCCCCACCCTGGTCCTCACCACCCAACTCACCTGAGTAGCCATCTGGGTCTCAGAAAAGGGCCTCAGGTGTTGAATTCTATGTTCAGGCAGAAAAAGGCAGACTGGGAATAAACCTCTGGGGTGTCTTTGCACTCAGATCTGCCTTTCACTTTTGGATAATACAGCCAATCTTGTATTCACAGATACCAGTTGAAATGCGTGTGCAGCTGAACTAGGTCAGATAAGGGTTTGCGTGAGAGCTGCGCCAACAAGATTCTCAGGCTCACAAGGGCTCCATATAAACCAAGTGGGGTGCTCTAAAAATGGCCGCAGTCCTTTGGCCAGCACTGGAGCTCCCTGGCAACTGAGTTCACCCTGAAGGCAATACATTCTGAAGTCTCTTGGGCCCACAAACTACGGCTGGAAGCTGAAGACAGCAATACAAAAGTATAAAGGTTCAGAAGAATTGGCAGTTGACCTGGCCTTGGTCATTCTTGGAGTATGTCTCCCCATCTCCTGTTGTAATTAGAGTTCCCCACAGGAAATGAGAAGCAAACACCAACCCATTGCCTGAAATAGCTTGTTTCCTGCTGCTGCAATGGGTGGAGGAAGGCTGAACCCACTCAGGGAACCAAGCCAAAAGCCACAGGAAACATAAAGGTCTTTTTCAAATGCTGTTTCCTTTGGAAAGCCGGGGCTGGCAGAAAAGGAGCCTGAGGCAATGATCCTGGCCCAAACCAGCCTCTGCTACACCAGACTTGTGTCACGCTGGGGAGAACTCCCAAGGAAGGTGAAGGTCACTGGGAGGAGAGCTCAGGAAAGAGAGCCTTTTCCCCAAGATCCTTTGCATCTGAGGAGGGGAGGAAGAGAAAAGTGCAAGGATAGTGGCTAAGAAAGACTCACCTGGTCTCATGGCTTTGAAGTACACCATGACACGTACAGTACAATTGCATCTTATACTCATCTAATTCAACCATAAGCAGCTGAAGGCCGCTGGTTGAAATCCCGCAAGTTAAATGCAAGAAAGGCCGAGAGCTCAAAAGCTCTTTTGTGCTGGGTCTTCCCAGTGGAAAAAGAGCCTTGCTTGGGATCCAAGGCACTCATAGAATCATAGAGTTGGAAGAGACCACAAGGGCCATCGAGTCCAACCCCCTGCCAAGCAGGAAACACCATCAGAGCACTCCTGACATATGGTTGTCAAGCCTCTGCTTAAAGACCTCCAAAGAAGGAGACTCCACCACACTCCTTGGCAGCAAATTCCACTGTCGAACAGCTCTTACTGTCAGGAAGTTCTTCCTAATGTTTAGGTGGAATCTTCTTTCTTGTAGTTTGGATCCATTGCTCCGTGTCCGCTTCTCTGGAGCAGCAGAAAACAACCTTTCTCCCTCCTCTATGTGACATCCTTTTATATATTTGAACATGGCTATCATATCACCCCTTAACCTCCTCTTCTCCAGGCTAAACATGCCCAGCTCCCTTAGCCGTTCCTCATAAGGCATCGTTTCCAGGCCTTTGACCATTTTGGTTGCCCTCCTCTGGACACGTTCCAGTTTGTCAGTGTCCTTCTTGAACTGTGGTGCCCAGAACTGGACACAGTACTCCAGGTGAGGTCTGACCAGAGCAGAATACAGTGGCATTATTACTTCCCTTGATCTAGATGCTATACTCCTATTGATGAGGCCCAGAATTGCATTGGCTTTTTTAGCTGCCGCGTCACACTGTTGGCTCATGTCAAGTTTGTGGTCAACCAAGACTTCTAGTGAAGGGACAGGATACCCAAATCCTGTCTGTGAAATCACCCCAGGCTTCAATAATCACACCAGGCCTCAAAACTGTCCAAAACTCCTTTTGTCTTCTAAAAATCCAAAACAGCTTTTCTCTGCTCTCCTCTGCTCTATCACAAGATGCTGTGCATAGGCAAAATGTTACTTTTAAAGGCTAATGAATAGGCTCTGTTCATAGCAGGCCTGAGAAACTGAATCTTATCTCATTCTAGTTGCAACATCTCTGGACACGCTGAACCACTCTCGTTCCCCTTTTCCTGGGAAGGGCGCCAAGAGCCCAATAGTCCCAAGACAGCTTTCTGTTCATGCTCAGAGGAACTCATGGGGCAGGACTCTGGAAGGAGGAGAAAGGGGGACGGATCTGGAATGGGTATATATGCTTGTGCACATGATTGTGAACTCGTGCATGCTTTTTGTGACTTATCACACTTGCTCCTTCTACCAGTTCATGGATGGTAGAAATAAAAGCCTTTTCTCCGAAACTATTCCTTGAGTGTCTGTTGACTCCCATTTTCCCTTTCCCAGGCGCAATATTTTTCCCACCCGAGGGCAAAGCCTCATAAGGCTACACTAGATCCTTTTCACATGTACTGCTCTCAAGCCAGGTGTCACCCATCTTGTATTTGTGCCTCTCATTTTTTTTGCCCAAGTGCAATACTTTACATTTCTCACTGTTAAAATTCATCTTGTTTTTGCCCAGTTCTCTGATCTGTCAAGGTCGTTTTGAAGTGTGATCCTGTCCTCTGGGGTGTTAGCCACCCCTCCCAGTTTGGTGTCATCTGCAAATTTGATCAGGATGCCCTTGAGTCCATCATCCAAGTCGTTGATGAGTCCATCATCCAAGCCCTCTCTGTGGGCTGAGTCTGGGATGCTCCCCTGAGATAATGATGGCCCCACCAGATCTTGAGAGAGCAAACTGGGGCCTCCAGAGCTGGTACAAAGAGTATGTGCATTTTTGCATATACATGGAACCCTTGGAACCAAACTCCAGTGTAAAATGTGATTGTACTGGATTTGAAAGTGTGGCTCATACTGATCCCCCAAGATCTAGAATCACTGGTCTTCAGCTGGTGGGCCTGATCTGTGGTGGGTTGTAACGGCACTACTACCTTGTAAATACATGTTAAAAGATTAAGAAATGGGTCCCCCCAAATGCATGTTTGGGTTAAAAGTGGGTCTTGAGTCTGAAGAGGTTGAGGATACCTGATCTAGATAATCTCTTGAAGGACATTTTTCAAAATGCTTAGAGAGTTCCATTCTGCAGTCTCTATTTGATTCTCTCTGTGCATATTTTTGCATACCATACCAAAGCGGTGTACAATAAGATAAAAATATGATGAAATACCAAACACTATAGACTCAGTAAACTAAGAGGAATACAGTGGTACCTCAGGTTACATACGCTTCAGGTTACATACGCTTCAGGTTACATACGCTTCAGGTTACAGACTCCGCTAACCCAGAAATAGTACCTCGGGTTAAGAACTTTGCTTCAGGATGAGAACAGAAATTGTGCAGCGGCGGTGCAGCAGCAGCAGGAGGCACCATTAGCTAAAGTGGTGCTTCAGGTTAAGAACAGTTTCAGGTTAAGAACGGACCTCCGGAACGAATTAAGTACTTCAAGTTCAAGTTTATTGCGGCCAAAGCCAGTGACACTAAACATCCCAAGATCAGACAACAAGAAATCAGCAACAACTTCAGAAAAGAAAAAAGGTTACACAAGGGAACTTCGCAGTGTGCCATTCGACAGAAGAGATTTACGTTTCTTAATTACTAAAGTGCAAAATTTAGCCACCTCATATGATACTGAGCTTGAGGAATCTTCCAGGAGGTATTTTCGAAGAATTTCAGGGGAGGATTCCAAATAATATTGAAGGGGTATAAATTTTGATAAAAGCGGTAAAATAAGTTGAGCTCGTTCTTCACTATAGAATTCGCAAGATAGAAGAATGTGTGTGACAGATTCTACCTTATTAGACATACAAGGGCAGAGACGCGCATGCATTGGAACCCGCGTGAATTTGCCGTACAGCACTGCTGAGGGCATTGTCTCAAAGCGGGCTCTAGAGAAAGCCCATCTATAGGCTTCGCTAGTGATGTTGGTTAAGTAAGGGGCAGCTGTAAAATTAGGCCAAGCTTTTAAACATCTATACGTCTCTGGGAGTAGGGCGCCTTCTTGTTGTAATTCGATATCATAAAGTCTCCGAGTAATAGTAGCTTTTGCCTTGTTCAGAGTTCCAATAAAAATATTTTCAGGGTTTAGGCCAATTTGTTTGATCTTGTTAGTTATTTGCATAAGCCAAGGAGGATAGGGAACTGCGGCCAGGAAGCAAGGTAATAGACCCTTAGGATTGTAATGGATTTTCAGCCAGAGGGATATTGCTTGTTCCCAGACTTTTAATTCCACTCTGGGCAGTCCTGCCTCTTGCCTTAAGACTGCATTAGGTGTACACTTAGGGGTAGCAAATAATGATCTTAAGAATTTAGATTGTACTGTTTCAAGGGTCTTAAGGTTGGCAGAGGGGCTAATTTGAGAGCCATATAGAAGTTGGGCTAAAGATTTTGCCTGAAAGACTGTTAGGGCCATCGGGAGGAAGCCAGCTCCTTTCCTTCTGAATAATCTAAGGATAGCATTTGCACTTCTTTCTGCTGATATAGCTGATGTGGTCAAGTGTGCTGAGAATTTGGCATTATAAGAGAAAGTAATGCCTAAATATTGGAAGGTCTTAGTCTGTTCAATGGCGTTTCCCTTTACGCTCCAATTATCCTTCCTGAAGGAGCGGTTAAAATGTACAATTTTGGTTTTGGCAAAGTTAATTGTTAGCAGTTCAGTGTTACATTGGTCACTAAACTTTCCTAAGGCACGTTTCAGACCCACTTTGGTTTGAGAGAGAAGAACGGCGTCATCCGCATACATTAAAATTGGTACTTTTCTGCCATTAGAGAACACAGGGGGGTGGGTTTCAATTTCACGGCAGCATGTGACCAGGGAGTTAACATAGATGTTAAATAGGAATGGGGCTAATAGGCATCCTTGTCTAACTCCTCTTTGGACTGGGATTTCTCTAGAGAGTCTGCCGTCCTGTGCAAGTCTTATCTGGAGGGTATTGTTCTCATGAAGCTTAATCATCAGAAGTAATAACCTTCTGTTAATACCCATATTGGCCAATTTGGCCCAGAGCCTGCTCCTAGATACAGAATCAAATGCTGCCTTTAGGTCCACAAAGGCCGCATATAATGACTTTTTCCAATATTTCGCATACTTATAGACAAAGTAATCTAACACTAAGCAGTGATCAATGGTGGAACGTCCGGATGTAAACCCTGCTTGTTCAATTTCTAGCAAGTTGTTATGATCTAACCATTCCCATAATTTTAGGCATAGATGTTTTGTATAAAGTTTACAGATCACATTCAGGAGACTAATTGGTCTATAATTAGATGGATCAGAGGGGTTGCCCTTTTTAAATATGGGAACAATTATAGCTAGTCCCCAATCTTTAGGGATTTCAGTTGTCTTGTCTATATATGAAAATAGATTTGCAAGGACCGGGGCCCACCAGTTTATTTGCGCTTTCAAAAGTTCAGCGACAATGAAATCACTTCCTGGGGCTTTGCCAGATTTCATTTGTAGAATTAGCGAAGCGATTTCAGTTTCAGATGTTGGGGGCCATGGTGTATCATTATCTAAGGGGATGTTAAGCGGCGCAGAAGGACAATGTTCCCTAAACAGCACTTTATAGTGCTCTTCCCATGAATTTGCAGGGATTATTGTGCCCTCATTAGGAGCTTTGGTTTGACTGGAGATGATTTTCCAGAAGTTAGAATTGTCTTTTTCTATTGACGCTTTTATGAGGGCCTGCCAGATGAGAGAGTCTGCGGTTCTTTTTTGGTTTTTAATAACTCTTTGTAGTTCTTTTTTTTAAGTTGTAACTCCAATTTAGTGATAGGGTTAGGATTTTGCTGGAAGACCTTAAAGCATTCCCTGAGTATAAGTTTTGCCTGAGTGCATTCGTGGTCAAACCATTTTTGTTGGTAGGGAGTCATTTTGGTTAGATCTTCTGGGTCTTGACAATAACGGTTGGAGTTTTCGGATTAATGTGTTATAATGGTCGATTGGGGAGGTCTCTTCAGTGTCGTTGGAAGTCAGATCAGCCCAGAGGAGTTGACCTTCCATTGATTGTGTCCAAATACCAAAATGGTTATTAACATAAGGGGACCATTTAATTCTGGATCTACCTATTTGTTGTACGCGCTAGGATCAGGAGTCTGCGGGGCAAGCCCACATCTAGAGGGTTCCCAAAATTCAGTCCTTTTAAGATTTAGGGGTAAATGGTCACTTTCGGTTCTTGTATCTACAGTAAATTCAATATATTCATCGAAAAGTTCTTGGGAGACAAGGATGTAGTCAATAACAGAATGCCTTAGGCCTGACCAGTAAGTAAATTGGCCAGGGCAGTCCCCGAGGAGAGGCCGTTTAAAATAACAAGGTTTAATCTAAGTGCCATTAAAAAAAGGCATGTACCAGCAAAATTGGTGACTGGGTCAAGTGAGTGACGCCTGAATAGGGGCCAATATTCATCATTAGCATTTAGGGGACCCATTCCACTTTCCTTGATTAATTGTTCGTCTGAGTGGCCTAGCCTTGCATTAAAATCCCCACCAATAATTAAGGAGGCAGAGGAAACTTATTTGAGACAAGGAGAATGCAGTCTTCCAGTTCGTTCCAGATGTTTTTAAGATCAGTTTGTTTCATAAGTGGGTGAATATAGACATTGATGCATATAATCTTAAAATGGGTGGAGAATATTTTAACGGCAAAAATCCATTTTTATCGATTTTCAATTGGATAGGGAGGCTCCTAGATCTGTCGATACGAAGGTGCTCAAACCTCCCGCCGGTCTTCCGCCTTTTGGGCCGATTGTGGCAGGGGAATGGAAAGCAAAGTAATTGTGTAGTTCGAAAGGATTTTGCATCCAGGTTTCTTGGAGCAGGATGATCTTGAACTGTGATACGTAGGTTAAAACGTCTTTGTCCCTTGTTTTCGCTTGCCATCCCGCAACGTTCCAGGATAGTAGTAGGGGTGAGAGTCATTTTGTCTCTTCAATAGCATCTAGGGTTTTCCGGGGTCGTGGAAGATGCAACCATTGGATGGTTGAGTCTCCGGTAATGTGATTAAGGGCGCCACAGAGATTTCGGCGTGGATTTCAGATGGGCAGAGTAGAGGTGTGTGTTCTGCCGTGACCTGAGGAGATTCATGACCCATTTTTCGCTCCAAGTTAGGTGGAATATTTGCCTCTTTTATGGGCGCTAGATCTTCAAAGTTGCGGAGATAGAGTAATAACTCATCTAGTCTGTCCGTTATCTCTGTTTGTTCGGCTTTTGGCAGATGGGAGAAGGAGACAAGTAATTCCTGCTCCATCGAATTCTCAAGATGAGTAGCCTTTGATAGGAGGGGCATGGGGGTCTCTGTCCAACTAATTAAGTCTGAGGGTGGAGAGGTAGAGCTCGTAGTAGATGGAATGCCCTCATTTTTAATTGCTTTCCTTTTAACTGGAGAGTAGGGAATAAGAGGGCAAATCTTAGTGTTGATAAAAACTCTTGTGATAAAAATTCTATAGTTAGTCAGGTAGCTTCGTAAGGACATCATATAAGTTGGAAGCTTTTTGGAATCAAAGGTGAGCAGTATCCTCTGCATGTGTGGCTTGCTGTAAATGTGGACAGCGGATTTCAGATCGATGGAAAGAGGATCTACGCCCAGAAGCTCAGCCAAATGCCTTCTTGCGACATGTGTAGACGACCAGTTAACAACCTGACCTTTGAAGGGAAGGATAATTAAACAAAGTCTAGTGGCTTGTAACGAGAGAGAGCAAACTGGGGCCTCCAGAGCTGGTACAAAGAGTATGTGCATTTTTGCATATACATGGAACCCTTGGAACCAAACTCCAGTGTAAAATGTGATTGTACTGGATTTGAAAGTGTGGCTCATACTGATCCCCCAAGATCTAGAATCACTGGTCTTCAGCTGGTGGGCCTGATCTGTGGTGGGTTGTAACGGCACTACTACCTTGTAAATACATGTTAAAAGATTAAGAAATGGGTCCCCCCAAATGCATGTTTGGGTTAAAAGTGGGTCTTGAGTCTGAAGAGGTTGAGGATACCTGATCTAGATAATCTCTTGAAGGACATTTTTCAAAATGCTTAGAGAGTTCCATTCTGCAGTCTCTATTTGATTCTCTCTGTGCATATTTTTGCATACCATACCAAAGCGGTGTACAATAAGATAAAAATATGATAAAATACCAAACACTATAGACTCAGTAAACTAAGAGGAATACAGTGGTACCTCAGGTTACATACGCTTCAGGTTACATACGCTTCAGGTTACAGACTCCGCTAACCCAGAAATAGTACCTCGGGTTAAGAACTTTGCTTCAGGATGAGAACAGAAATTGTGCAGCGGCGGTGCAGCAGCAGCAGGAGGCACCATTAGCTAAAGTGGTGCTTCAGGTTAAGAACAGTTTCAGGTTAAGAACGGACCTCCGGAACGAATTAAGTACTTAACCCGAGGTACCACTGTAAAACTATTTGTACAATTGTAAAACACATGTTCCACACCTTGACCCATTCATACTTCAAGTAAAGCTGTCTTATACAAAAATATGAGGCACTATGTGTGGTGAATCTGAGGGTGTCCTGAATACGTGAGTAATAGTCGCACAGCTGCCTTTCCCTCTCTGAGACTTGCCAACACCTTCATAGTGTCCATTAAATTAACCTTCCCAGTGTCACGTAGTTGGCCTCTGTAGGTCACAAGATGCTGGACATGGTGGTCTTTGGCCTGATCCACCTGCAGGAGCTCCTGTGGTGTTCTTCACCCCATAGACATTTCAGAAGATGAAAGCGAAAGCAAACACAGAAACCCTCGTTGGGACCTCACACAGCACTCCACATGCTTTCTCAGAGGCTTGGCCCACTATCAAGTGCCTCCTGTGCCTTCATCACAGAAGGTTGTGGCCTTTTGACAGATGAGATCCCAAAGCAGAAGGGCAGGATTAGCTGTTCCACTACAGTGGTACCTCACAAGACGAATGCCTCGCAAGACGAAAAGCTCACAAGACGAAACAGTTTTTCGTTTTTTGAGTTGCTTCGCAAGACGAATTTCCCTATGGGCTTGCTTCGCAAGACGAAAAACGAAAATGTCTTGCAAGTTTGTTTCCTTTTTCTTAAAACCATTAATACCCAGGGTGACTTCAAGGAGCAACTCATAGCACGCGGTGTGGTAGCCTTTTTTGAGGTTTTTGAAGACTTTGGTGATTTTGAAGACTTTGGGAAACCGTGCTTCGCAAGACGAAAAATCCGCAAGACGAAAAAACTCGCAGAACGAATTAATTTCGTCTTGTGAGGCACCACTGTACAAGCATGAGAGCAAACTGGAGCAAACCCTGAGGAGCTCCACCATCTCACGGAAGGAGAGGTTTGCTGGCTCTCTTACTAGGAACGTGTTCCAAAAAGTTATTGAACCTTGCCTCCCCACAGCTCCGCCCCACACTTTGCTTACTGGGACCATCTGCTGAGAGGCTGTGTGGAAATACACCGATGCACCGGCATGCACACATGCACACACTCCTCCATCTGAGCATCTGTGCATTATTCTTTCACACTGGCTGCCAGCTGCTCCCCTTCCTCACTGTTGCCTCTCCTCTCACAGCAGGCACTTCTAAGCCCAGACCTAATGAGGAGAGAAATCTAGCAGCAGCGTCCTCCAGGCCTAGTGCCCTCCAGCCATGCGTTGGGCCCGATGAGAGTTGTACTCCAAAACATCTGGGGGGCACAAGGTTGGGGAACACATGGCGCTGCATTATACCAACTGCATTATACCAACACTGACTTGCAGCAGCTCTTCCGCTCATCATGTTTTGGGGTGGCCTTATCAATGCTGCAAACCAGTGGTTTTAGGCCTCATCTGGTTTCTTTTGTTTAATGCTACAGATTCTTAGGCGTGCATCTCATACTTAGAAATAAGCACACACATATGCACAATAATTGCTGCAGGAATCTTTCTTTCTGTTGCCAGCAAAAAAGGCACCAGGGCCCTTGTTCTGAAGGTGGCTCTTCCATTGTGATGCAACAAACCAGGCACTTTGCTAGCAGGAGAGGAAAGCCATTAAGAAGAGCCACCCTACATGCTGGGAAAGGAAGGTACCTCCTCCTTCCAAGTGTTGGGCTTCCTGTGCGCAGCAGGGACTAGTCTGCAGCCGGGGATGTTTATTCCCTCCTGCCAAGCTCCTATTGTTTACTGTGAGACTAATTGATTGAGGAAGGCCACAGTGTCAGAACTCTGTGAAGGAATGACCAGTTGACAGAGCACATATCTCATCTCTAACAGCAGAGTCACAGCAGACCAAGACTGAGAATACTCAAGCAGCCTGTTGTCTTTCCTGGGGAGGAAGGCAGCTGAAAAAAGTTCTGATCTCTTGAAGTCAACAGAGGAAAAGCAGGCCAAGTCAGTCATGTGAGCCCACAGCCCTGGCAGCTTTGGAGAAGCCCCTCTCTCTCAGCTCCCTGTCTGAACAGCAATAGCAACGCCTCAAGGCTGGTGCCCTCCAGATGTGCTAGACTATCTTTCCTGTTAACCATAGCACCCTATGGCCATGCTCCCATCAGCTGAGACTGATCAGATCTGTGGTCCAAAACAACTGGATGGCACTTAGCTGGGGGAAGTCTAACCCTTCAACTTTAGACAGGTGGAGTCAACTTTAGACAGAAAAATACTACGTTTGCACCTCTCGGTAGAAGAGGGAACTAAAACCCACATCCTTCCTGTCAAGTGGGTAAATCTTGCATCTGAAAACTGAAAACCTTCATGAAGCATTAGAGGAAGGGAAACATCTGCAGCATGTTTTCAATATCCACCCAGTGAGGCTCTCAAAGTGGTTTAATGTTTCCTGCCCAGTAAGGCCGCCTGAAGCAGGCAAAGTCAGTGCCCACCAGCCGACAGGCACTCACTTCAAACCAGGTAGTTCTTGAAGAGACTGGCAAAGAGCCCTTTGCAAAAAGCCCTGCTCAGCTGATCGGTGGTGCTTCAAAGTGCGGGGCTCTCTGCAACCCCAGCTTGGTGCTGTAAAGTCCCAATAATCAGCAGGACTTCAAAGTGCTCCATCACCTGATGTCAGGAGACTGGCGGGTGGGCAGTCCCACTCGCCTTTCAAATGTGGCCTGTGAGGGGTAGAGAAGATAAGGATGTGGCTCACTGGCCACCCTGGGAAAATAACATCAGCTGCCTGTCCTCTGAAGTATGCAGAACAGTCTGTTGTGCAGCAGGCCCTCCTGGCGCAGAGGGAGAGGCAGAGGGAGACAACTGCCAGGTGGCAGGTGCCTGGGGGTGGGGGAGCAGGCGCAGCTACGGTATATACATCACTCTGTCTGTCCTGAAGTCTTAATTTGGCCTGCGGCCTCCAGTGTGGCAGTAAGGGCCTGAGCCTGAGGGGGTTCAGGGGGCGGGCAAAGGCATGAGGGAGTGGGAAGGCGAGGGGGGAGGAAGAGCAGTGTGGCACGGTTGCGCCCCTCTCACTGTGCAGCCCCCGGGCACCTGGGGTGGGCTGCTCCTCCCCCCCCTTTCCTCCGCCAGTGTTCTATCCTGTTCTTACTTTCAACAAATGAAGGGCTGCCATATTTCAAGAATAAAAATCCAGCTCAGAAAGCTGTTGAGCCCACACCAAAAAATGCCCCACCCCACATTTTGAAACTATTTTTTAAGGAAAACGACACTCCTGACATGGATTGCCATATGTCTGGACATTTTTTACTACACTGCTTCCAACTGCAGTATTATGGGTATGTCTGGGAAATTCTGGGCGTACGGCTAACAAATGAGGAGTACAAAAAAGAAGAATATTCCTAAAACGACACTTTGAAAGAGTGAAAGTGATGAAGGGAACACAAGGATTTCATTGCTTTGTTCCATCTACACCCAGTCCAACAGAAATTGTGACTAAGGTGTACTGCTTTAGCAATGAAAGAGAATTTCGACACTGAAGGAGGTACAAAATCTCTGAATATGGCTGAGATAACTGGCTATATGACCTGTGAATATATTAAAGCATTGCGGTTGACCTATGTGCTGTTGGTGGACTATGAAAGTGAAGAAGCAACCGCGACCTTCTTACACTTGCCAGGCTCCAATATCATCATTTGCTTTCCCATCTACTTTCCCATGTACTTAAGGTAGTACTTAATGAGCACACTTTGACAAAAAATGAAACATATGCAACAAATGCTCTTGAAAAGTGTTTGGTGTAAAGTATAAATAATGGAAGGATCAATGTTTTCAGACCCATTTCTCATGTGTAAGGCTTTTTTCATAATTTTGTTTGATATGCATTTTGTTGCAATGTTCATGAAGTGAATTACTAAGAAGAATTCTGTCAAAGTGTTAATTCTATAATGCAATAGCAAGCTATCATTCAGATTTGGAACACATTTTAAAAAGAAAACCCTAGCTGTTCAGATACCTTTTAACTGAATAACTTTCTAAAGGAATGCCTGAAGTAACTGATATTATAGTGTGAAGTCTCGTTTATTCTGTTATATTTTACTCCAAGAAGACCAATTTATCCTAAATAGAACCCAATAATGCACAAAATATTTTTAAAATGTGATCCCATGATGAAATTCTGCAGGTAGCTCTTAGAAATATTAAATAATCAATATTTTTTGGAAATTATAAATCATATTAATTTTTTAAATTTTAAATCTTGTAACTGAATTTTAAAATTTAAAGTAAGGCCATCATGTGACATATCATATTAAAGCCCATGAAGTTTTGAATAGATTGGTGTTTTTAGTTTTGACATTCTGGGCTGAGCATTTAAGGGTTTTTTAGGTTTTGGCGAGGCCAAATTGTCATTTTTTAAAAATCTCAAACCCTTATAGCTCAAAAATGGGATGAGATAAAAAAATTAAAGTTTTAGATTTAAAATTAGTTTTAATCATTCAACAAGTGTACAGAATATTAAGAAAATTGGATGACATGAGGTAAAAAAGTTGGATCACTTGATATGGAATGACCCCCATGGGAAACCCACAAGAGGATTTGAGCCCAAGAGCAGTTCTCCCCTCCTGTGGTTTCCAGCAACTGGGATTCAGAAGCACGGCTGCCTCCAACTCTGGCCAGCAGCCATCACCTTCTTCTCCATGAATTTGTCTAATTTTGAAGCCATCTCGTCTGGTGGCCCCACCGCCTCCTTCTATCTGTCCTGAATCTTCCAACATTTTGCTTCGTTGGATGTTTACGAGTTCTGGTATAGAGGAAGGAAAAAACACCTTTCTTTTCCCACTTTTCCCACATCCTGCATAATTTTACAAACTTCTATCACGTCGCCTCTTTCTCGCCTTCCCTCCAAACTAAAAAGCCTCAAACGCGGCAACCTTTTCTCACAGGGGTGTCGCTCCACACCCTCACACTCCCAATAACTTCGGCTGTCCTTTTCTGAGCCTTTTCCAACCTTGAAATATCCTTTCTGAGGTGAGGCAACCGAGCTGCAATCTTAACCCCCGCCCTTACTTCGGAGTAAGCCCCATTGGATTCAACAGGGCTTCCTTCTGAGTAGAGGTGGTTAGAATTGCGCTGTAAGGCAGAAGTCCAACCCGCCGCCTCCGCCCCCTACTGGCGCCAGGGCGCAACTACAGTGGTACCTCGGGTTAAGAACTTAATTCGTTCCGGAGGTCCGTTCTTAACCTGAAACTGTTCTTAACCTGAAGCACCACTTCAGCTAATGGGGCCTCCCGCTGCTGCCGCGCCACCGGAGCACGATTTCTGTTCTCATCCTGAAGCAAAGTTCTTAACCCGAGGTACTATTTCTGTGTTAGCGGAGTCTGTAACCCGAGGTACCACTGTACCTCCAAACGACTCTGTCTAGAAGGGGCAAACAAATGCTTCTGGAGGCAGCAACAGGCGGTCCTGGCTCCGGCGAAGCCCCATTCTGGGGCCGCGGAGAGCCGCGCAAACTCCCGGCTGCGCCCAGATTACGAAAGAAGCTCCCGAAAGAGACGCTGCCCGGCCGCTTCCCCGGGGTCTCTTCCGAGGCAAGCAGCCTCCGCAGCGAAGCGCCCCACGGCAGCCGTCGCGGGCGCGGACCCAGCCCGCAGCGCCGCTCCCTCGGTGCCCCCGGCGTGGGCTGCCCCGAAGCCGGGAGGGAGGGCTCGCCGCCGCGGAGCTGCGCCGCCTTGCCCTCCGCCGGGTTTCCCCCTCGGCGCCGCCGCCGCCGAGACTGACCCGACGGCTGTGCCGCCCGCCCCCTCGGTTCCTACCATGGCTGGCCCTGCGCGTCGGAGAACTCGGCTGAGTTGCGCTCGCTTCTCCTCCGACTGGCGGCCGGCCGCGCCGCCTTCCTGCCCCCTCGGCCGGCGACGGGGCGGCGCTTCGGGTCGCGGCACCTGGAAGGGGCTCGCTTACTCCGCGCGCCGCTTTCGCTTTCCTTGGCCGGGGAGCGGCGCAGGGACGCCGGGAAAACGACCCCCGAGGGGCGCCGCTTCGCAGCCCCAGCCAGTGTCGCGCCGGGCCGGCCCCTTCGTGGGCGTCCCCTGAGTCCTTGGAGGGAGGCGAGGGAGCAGCCCAAGGTCACTGCCCGGGGGGCCCGGCCCGGCCCAAGCCGCGGGGCGAGGAGAAGACGGGCGCCCCCCCGACGCCTCCCTCGCCCCGCCGCCCAGAGGGGCCAGCCAGGTGCCCCGGGGAAGCTGGACCGGAGCGCGACAGCAACACCTGTGCTTCCCAGGTACGCCGGAGGCAAAATATAACCCCCCCGTCCAGTAGCCACTGGCTAGTAGCCCTTCTCCTCCTCCTCCGTGGATTTTTAAAGCTAGTGGCCATGGCTACAACCTGCTCCTGGTTCCATCGTTTAACGATATGCCACCTGGATTTCCTCTCCCCGTCCTGTGTTTTCCAACCTTCAACTAACTACATTGGGTCCCAGTGTTATGAGAGAGGAAGAAAAAGTCATTTGTCTGTTTTCTGTACACCGTGCATAATTGTATATACAGTGGTACCTCGGTTTACGAACTTAATCCGTTCCGGAAATCCATTCTTAAACCAAAGCCGTTCTTAAACCAAGGTGCACTTTCCCTAATGAGGCCTCCCGCTGCTAGTGCCCTTCCACTGTTCAGATTCTGTTCATAAACCGAGGTAAAGTTCGCAAACCAGGACACTGCTTTCAGTTTTGCGGAGTTCATAAACCGAATAGTTCTTAAACAGGGCTGTTCTTAAACCGAGGTACCACTGTACCTCTGTCATGTCCCCTCTCCCTTGCCTTTTCTCTGAAGCCCCAAATGCCACAAGCCTTTCAAATGAGGGAGTTGCTCCCTCCCCTTGATCATTTTGGTTGCCTTATTCTGAACCATTTTCCAGATCTGCAATGACCAGAAGTGGACACAGTATTCCCAGTGTGGCTGCAACATACTGTAGATTTGTATAAAACCATTCTGATCATGCCAGCGTTATTTTAATCGTAAAGATCCCTAGCATGGAGTTTACTTTTTCACAGCTGTCACCCTCTGAGTCAACATTTTAATGCAGCCTTCAACCACAATACCAGTATATCTTTCCTGGCCGTCTCAGATCCCATCAAGTGTGTATGGGAAGTTAAGAGTCGCTTTATTGCTTGCTTACATTGAATCACATTTGCTATGGTAGTATCCAATAATCTGGTCTGGAGAGATCCTTTTGGAGCAACTTGCAAACCTGTTTTGCTTTGACCACCCTAAACAATTTGGTAGCAACAGCAAACGTGGCTACTTCACTGCTCATTCCTCATGGGCGTAGCGGGGGGGACAGCTGCTGACCAATAACTGACCAATCACATTGCAGATAGCTCAGATCTGCCCTCACTAACATAAAACCTACCCCCCCAACATAAATCCTGGCTATGCCCATGTCACCCCTAACTCCAAGTCACTTAAAGGTAAAGGGAACCCTGACCATTAGGTCCAGTCGTGACCGACTCTGGGGTTGCGCGCTCATCTCGCTCTATAGGCCGAAGGAGCCGGGGTTTGTCCGCAGACAGCTTCCGGGTCATGTGGCCAGCATGACCAAGCCGCTTCTGGCGAACCAGAGCAGCACACGGAAACACCGTTTACCTTCCCGCAGGAGTGGTCCCTATTTATCTACTTGCACTTTGACATGCTTTCAAACTGCCAGGTTGGCAGGAGCAGGAACCGAGCAACGGGAGCTCACCCCGTCCCGGGGATTTGAACCGCCGACCTTCTGATCGGCAAGTCCTAGGCTCTGTGGTTTAACCCACAGCGCCACCTGCTTCCCTAGTCACTTAGTCCAAGTCACTTAGACTAAGACTAGTCCAAGTCACTTAGGAACCAGTAAAAAATCACCAGCCCCAATACAACTCATTGGAGAACCCCATTTTTGAAAATGTAAGTAGCTTGTATTGGCTTGAAAAAGGGGTTCTGTCTCCCCTCTCTTTTATGACACATTGATATCGGAAAGCCTGGTGGAGTTGGGGTGTGTGTGTGTGTGTGTGAAACAGACATTACTTTTTTAAGGTAAAAATTGAAGTGCCAGTACTCTTACTTGATGCAAGCATAGAAGGTGCCAGCACAAAATGGCTGCTATGAGCAGCAAAAGAAAGAGGTGTTAGTACTATGCTCCAGCATGAGTTGCTGTTGTTGGCATCGGTCTGTCTTGAGAGACAAGGGAGGAGTGCACTCTTGGGGGTGAAGTCAAGCTCTGGAGAATTGCAGCGCCTGCTGTGGCTGTGGAGACCAATATGGGAGACACATGTTTTATTGCAGCTGGGGCAGATGAAGGCATCCAGTGACATTGGGGACATGGAAAGGAACAGTGGTGCAGGGGGCCACTAGGGGGCGCATTGGAAGATGGCCGACAATACCATCTCTCCGACCCACACGGGGTAATTAAGAGGCTGTTATGGGAGTAGGCAGCCTCCCTTGTTGCCCCAAGGAAATGGGGAACACTGCCCTTGCCTGCTGTGCCCATAAATTCGAAAGAAGGGGGTGAGGGCCCTAGGCAGAATGCCCCCGTGTGGACCTCGGCTCTCCTGGACGCTGTCTCTGATCGCGCACTAGCTGCAGCAATTTGGAATAATTAATTACAAAAGAAGCAAATGCACATATTTCAAGTGAAGAAGGGGAGTGAAGTCTGCTAATTTAAGTGACCTCTGCGAAAGAAGACGACGGGCTGGAGAAACAGGAATATTTTACGATGAAGATACACCAAAGGCGGGGTATGTTGACAACGGGGCTGAATGGGGGGGAACCTTTTTTTACTTTCCTTCTATGTGATTTACAAGAACCCCTCCTCATTAGAACCGTCGGTTGAACTGACCCAAGCAGGATGATTAAGGTCTGTGTGGAGATAAACTTTAACCAAAAGTATGCTTTATGGAGACCGAGAAGCAATAAGAGCTTTTGGGAATGGCGCAGCAATTAATTCGGAGTTGCCATCTTGCCAAAGGATTTATAGCCGGGAGGAAGAACGGACTTGTTTTCAGACTGCATTCCTAGTGAATCTCCTCAGAGGTTTTGAGAAGGGAGGCAGATTGGTGAAGATTAATGACGCTAAGACTGTTTTGATGTATAGAAGTGATATTATATGGAAAACGTCTGGATATGGCTACTGGATAAAAATAATAATATCCACGCAGGATTACAAACTGTTCTAACCAGCTTGCGGAGACTATCAGAGGTCACAAAGAGAAAGGAAAAATATATGAAAATAACAACAAGAGATGTGGAAAAATAATAAGAAAGGACTGGATAGTACTGTGAACATCATAAGGTTAGATTTGTGGACATTAAAACGGCAGTAAGAAGCAAGAAGTTGATTGGATCCCTTCGGAACTTGAAATATGGGTACCCCCAACAAAAATTTAAAATTCGGCTGTGTAATTTGGAATTTAGGTAATTTGGTTTGATTTGATGTGATTGGTCGGTTAATAAAAAATTATTCTTTGGAAAGGAACAGTGGTGCAGCTTGGCGGCTCCATGCAAATACTGAGGTAACAAACACTTAGATTGACACCCAGACTCAGAAAGCCAGTTGCTGTTTTAGAGGGTGCCTTTGGGTAAAAGGCCTTTGGGTAAGAGTCCCACTGTCATTGATAACTAGGAGTAAATGTGCAGACATATACATGTGCACACACTCGCACATGGCCAGACACTAATAAATGCTGCCTCGCCTCCTGTCTACGTTGTTTAAGCGCAAGCAATTATTGCCAAGCCATGGTATTTTGGAGCTGCTCCTGGATAGCAGGATGATGGGACAGATTTCCTTGGCAGGTGGTGAGCTTTCCTTTGCTGGAGATACTCAAGCAGAGGCGATCTGACAGGGGTTGGAAAGGTTTACCTCGCCTGGGCCAGTTCACTCCAGCAGAGATCCCTCTGTGGGCCAGATTGAGCATGCACATGAGCGCTCACGCCTGCGATTTCCAGCATCTGCGCAGATGCAATTTCTGGTGTTTGCGCAGACATGATTTTCAGCATCTGCGCATGCACAGATGCGATTTCCAGCACCGAGGTAGTGAGTCCCCACACCGCGCTGTGCTGGTTAAGCGCATTGCACAGGGACTCACCAAGCGGGCGGCTCTGTTCGGGGGCAGCTCGTGGGCCGGTTAAATGGCCCCCGTGGGCCGCTTGTGGCCCATGGACCTTAGGTTGCCTACCCCTGGGTAAGAGAGCTATCTGTTAGAGATGCTGTGGTTGTATCCTGCATTGTAGATCTTGTTCTTAGCAAAGAGTTGGGGTAGATGACCTCCAGCGTGCCACTCATCCCTGTGGTTTTATGAGAGCAAGCAGGTGATCCTGCTATTAGGGATTTCTTTGATTTTACATAGAATGCAGCCTTATCTTATCTTACCTTTGTTCTCCCGTTGTTTACTCTTTAAAGTTGCCCAGTCTCCTGAGATGGCAGACACCCAGAGGACCTTCTCTGGTCACCTGCAAGGGACTGATTCTGCATGGGAGCAAGCTAATCTGTGGTCTTTTTTAGTTGTGGTATTCAGCATCGTTCGTCTCCCCCCCCCCCGCCCCGGCTTCCCTAAATGGCCTGAGGCCAGCGAGGCAACTCAACGCACACCCTTTCCCGAGGAAGCTTGGAGGTCATCTTGACTTACGACATTGTACTCCCCAAGTGGCACGCCAGTGGAAATTAGGTTGACGGCTATGGAGAGAGTTTTCTCTCTGTGGGGGGAAGTATCCTCTCCCCACAGAAGCTTGCCTGACATGCTTTGAGCTGCATATACACCATACATTTAAAGCACATTTTCCTCCACCCCCATAAAAAAAGAATCCCAGGAATTGTAGTTTGTTAAGCATGCTGGGAACTGTAGCTCTGGGAGGGTCAAACTGCAGTCCCTGGGATTCTTTTATTGGGTGGGGAATGTGCTTTAAATGTATTCAGGGTAAGCTAGTTTCAGTGAAATTTTATTGCTGATTCAAATCAACAATAGAAGCCACTGCAGTACCTTGTCATGGACTGAAAAGCAAAGAGACATTTAAAAATGGAAAGCGTAATGCTGGTGGTCAACAAAAGAGGTTTAAAGACTGTCTCAAGGCAAATCTTTAAAAAAGTAGAATAAACACCAACAATTGGGAAACACTTGCCTGCGAGTGCTCCAATTGGGGAACAGCCTTTACCAAAGGTGTCATGGGCTTTGAAGACACTCGAACTCAGAACACAAGGGAGAAATGTGCTAAGAGGAAGGCACCGTGATCAACTTCTTCCCGGAAACCAATGTCCCCAATGTGAAAGGATGTGTGAATCCAGAATTGGCCTCCAAAGTCACTTACAGACTCATTGTTAAAACCGTGTTTATGGAAGACAATCTTACTTGGCTACGAGTGATCGCAGAAGAAGAAGAAGAAGAAGGAGGAGGAGGAGGAGGAGGAAGAAAGAAGAAGAAGGAGGAGGAGGAGGAGGAGGAAGAAGAAGAAGAAGAAGAAGAAGAAGAAGAAGAAGAAGAAGAAGAAGAAGAAGAAGAAGAAGAAGGAGGAGGAGGAGGTATGAATGCCACAGTCCTTGTGGATAAGGCTTCCAGGGTTGTTTCCCCTGCCAGCCTTCTATCACACCCCCAGTCTCACTTTCAACATGCCCCCCCCCCATGCAGAGCCTCCCACAGTGCAGGCAGCTATATAGTGGCGCAGCATGTTGGGGGCACAGTACTTTCATTAGGCCAGCCAAAAGGCCTCAGAGTAGCAAGCCAAGCTTTCAAGTTCCCTAGGACACTTCATCAGGCTGGATGTTAAACAAAGCAGAGAGGACAGAAGTTGACTGATGGTGAAGCCATGGATGGAGTCACAGTCTTAAGATGGAATGCAGGAGAAAGGAGCAGACTTATTTTGTTTAGGCTCTACTAAATGCTATGCAGGTTTCAGATTGCATCTGGCACTGCTAAGAAACCTGAATTGTTGACCTTTGAAATACGAAATCAGGCTGTTGCTAGGATCTGTCTCCACTTTTTGGTGAAAGACACAACTTCCTTGGTAGCTGGAAAAATTTACACACACACACACACACACAGTCAATTGGTCAATTCAGCTTCCATTGTTTTCCCCTTTCGTGTTAGGGCTTGCCAGCACTGGAGCTAAATGTGGATTCCTCCTGGCCTGTCTTCCCTTTGATGCACATTTTGTCACCCTAGGTGCATCCCAGTGTTGTCCCGGACCTTTCCCTGGGAAAACTATGGGGCTTCTGGAGGCATGGATTCATGGAAAGTGTGAATCAGAAAAACCCTGCATTTAAAGGGCTCACCTGTTGTTTAATGTAGATAATAAGCTTCCTGTGTTTCCATTAATTCTCTGTTGTCCATATGATGTTCTCCTCCACATCATGGCCTTCCCCACTCCTCTCCTTGTTGGAAAAAGTGGGAAATGTCCTAGCCAACATCGGGATAGGCACAGTTTGTTCTGGTGTGGATAAAACCTTTGTGTTTCCCACCAAAAACAACCAGGAGCCTTGTAACACTTTAAAGACGAAGGGCCTGTCCATACCTTATCTTAATATGGATTGTGAACCCCTATGCTTCCTTTAATTCCCTCTTGTCCATGTGGCGTTCTCTTGCAAAAGATTTTGCAGTCAAACTCAACAATGCATGTCTATGCTCGTTAGGAAATGAAGGAGTACAGAGCTGTAAATTGCTAGAGAAAGCATGGCTCAGTCATACACCCTCACCTTCAGGGAGGGAGGAAGTAAGTAAGGCCCTTTTCCCATTCTTTTCTCTCTCTCTCTTCTCTTTGAATCATCTAACAGAACAGACATTTGAAGCTGGGGCTCCAGACTCATACTATGTATTTGAGACTAACTTTTGTATTTTGTAACTAAGAATACCTTACCTGTGTTGTTTCTGCTGCAGCACTGAACGATGCATGAGTGAGACCTCTAATTACTGTAAGTAAGGCATTTAAACTTACTTGAGGGTTGTAGTCTATTCACTGTGAGAGGGATAGACATGGGGGAGCACAATCGTGAGCACTTAATAATGGAACATTTAAAAGTCTAACAACCTCTATTTCCTATGCTTTGCAAACGCTGCACATATTCTTGCATTGCAGGGGTTTGGACTAGATGTCCCTTATCGTTCCTTCCAAATGTATAATTCTATGATTCTCTTATTTCTGTTTTAAACTTTGCTGGAGGTTCTTTTGACTGGAGAGTGAGTCAAGATTTTTTAATTCAGCCAGTCGCCTTTTCTTTCTTTCTTTCTTTCTTTCTTTCTTTCTTTCTTTCTTTCTTTTTGCAGTGTCCCACACACGTGGGACTTCAGGATTAACTGGTATCGCCCAGTTATTTCCCAGCACCTCTAACTACCGCTATCCCACATTTCTTTCTCCCAAAATCTGGAGATTCCTAATGCATTTGGTATATCTCTCTAATTCAGATTTTCAAGGTGTAGGGAATATCCCGATTTAGGAAAGAGAAAGTGTGGGAGAGTGGTGGTTGGTGGATGAGGGGGGTTTAAACGAGGCACCAAGGGATTTACAATCCACATTAAGCCAAGGTAGGGACAGGCCCTAAAAGATTTATCAACTTTCATGCATCAGATGAAGCATACTGCAGAAAGTCAATGCCGTGATAAACCTGTTCGTCTTTAAGGTGACTCAAAACTTTGTTGCATTTACTTTGCATGCGTGAGAAGATCCTGAGAGTTTCGGTTCCAGTCTTGCACCTGTCCCTGCTTATCTATGGTCGTGAAGCAGAAGATTGGTCCGCCAGGGTTCCACATTCAAACACATACATCACACCTCCCCCCCTGCCCCCGCCGAATGAAACACCACCAAGGATCAGTTTCACTGAGACCAACGTACTGCACAGCAGAAGTTGTTTACTATGCAATTACCCTCTTTAGCAAAACTTTCCACTTCTGGAGCCGAAATGGAAAGTGCCATCGAGGGAACGTGAACAGGGAGGAAGACATTTACTTCTCTTCCTAAAACCGTGGAGGCAGTTTCCCACAGCAACCCACTGGGAACTCAGTCACAGCCAGGCACACATATCGGGGGCCCAGTGCCCAGGCTTGTTACAGATGCAAAGGTCAGAGTAGGGCAGCTCTCACTGGATTTGTGAGGGTTTTCTGAGTACAGATGCAAAATCAGGCAAGGTGAGATCTTCTGCTTGAGCAGCTGGTGTTCGAAAGCCATACAACAGACAACATACAAAACAATCTGGCTAATTTTACCCAACAAAGGTTTTTTTAAAAAAGGTAAAGGACCCCTGGACCGTTAAGTCCAGTCAAAGGCGAATATTGGGGTGGGGCGCTCATCTCGCTTTCAGGCCGAGGGAGCTGGCGTTTGTCCACGGACAGCTTTCCAGGTCATGTGGCCAGCATGAGTAAACTTCTTCTGGCGCAATGGAACACCGTGGCGGAAGCCAGAGCACACGGAAACACATTTTATCTTCCCGCTGCAGCGGTACCTCTTTATCTACTTGCACTGGTGTGCTTTCGAACTGCTAGGTAGGCAGGAGCTGGGACAGAGCAACAGGAGCTCACCCCGTTGCGGGGATTCGAACTGGCGTCCTTCCGATCGGCCAGCCCAAGAGGCTCAGTGGTTTAGACCACAGTGCCCCTCACACATGCAAACAAATCTAACTTCTGCCAATTAAACACAACCATGCCCTGCCCGCCCCCCAAGCTCCCTCACTACCAAGGAAATATAATAAAACAAACAGAAAGACAACCTACCCAAATGACGCTGACATAAAAAACCCACATACTGTACACACTAAGTATAAAAATATAAATTTACCACTTCCTCCCCCCCCCTTTTCTTCTTATCCAACTTTATTCTGTATACAACACTAATGTCTCATATATAACTGATATATGGAAAGACTTTACCTGAGAAAAGAGACGATGCACATACTTTTGTAAACAAAGAAAATATTTAATAAAAATTAGTATACAAAAACGGAAATGGCACACAGCATTTCTTCAGACATAGACATTGAACAGCAAACATCAGCAATGAAAATTAGGAGACGTCTTATTTTAAATTGGGCATTCTTTCCTGGAGGGACCTAGGGAAAGGTGGAAGGGTGCATTTGAATCTCCAGTTCACATTCAGCAGTGGGGGGGGGGGGAGAGAGAGAGAGAGACTTCTGTCAGGCTGATTCCCACAGATACTTGATTGTGTTTGATACAGTGCAAAAATATTTTCACAGTTTATTGAGCTTCATGCCATACTTTGGGAGACACTTTAACTCGCACAGATGGAACATGTCTCAAATGCTTTGCTCTGTCACATGATCTGGCCCTGTCCTGGAGTCACAGTCTTTTGGTCAGAGGTCATCAGCTGCATAAATATGGTTTTGGACACTTCCTTGACGTTTCCAGATGTCAATGTACTATTGAATTACGTGCCAGTGCTTTGGAACCTGGCACAGGGACAATGCAACTGGCTTCTAAGGATATCTAAGGTGGTTAAAGCTATAACGCTTCGATATTGGAAGGGAAGGACAGGTCTACCCCACCCCCACTCTTCTTTAAGATGTGTGCATTTCTAACTTCAGACTTTTTGTTCAGACCAATATTGTTAAGTTGTGGGTGAACATATCAGACGACACAGCAATTCTTCAAACAGCTCTTGTTTATTCACAGGCCAGAACTGAACTGAACTGAAGGGTTCAGCCAGCCTGCTTATATAGAGCTCCAGTACAACGTAACTGTAACAACTTTCTGTATCTATCCAATCACTGAATGTCTGAACTCCCCGGAAAAAAGGCGGAGAGTCTATAATTTACTCAAAAAAGAACAATTGGACTTGATTTGTCTGCAAGAAACACATGTGATAAGGCTACATAGGAAGATATTGAGTAATAAAAGATTGGGCCAAGAATTTATTTCATCAGACAAAGTTAAAAAAAGAGGAGTAGTCCTTTATGCAAAAGAGAGCCTTTCACCGAAATTTATATTTAAAGATGACCAAGGAAGATTTGTTGCAATTGAAATTCAATCACAAGGAGAGAAATTTTTGATAGTAGGTATTTATGCACCGAATGAAGGAAAATCAGAATTTTTCAAGAAGTTACATGAGATCCTGATGGACTATATGGATTACAATATGATTTTGATGGGAGATATGAATGGAGTGGTGTCTACAAACATGGACAAGGCACAGAGACAGATAGTTACTAAGGATGGTAGACTACCAAAAACTTTTTTTGATATGACTGAAAATATGGATTTAGTTGACATCTGGAGAACGAAGAACCCCCTGGGAAGAGAGGGAACTTTCTTCTCTGAGGCTAAAATGACATGGACAAGAATTGACCAAATTTGGGTAACTAGAGGACTGGCTCCGAAGACTAGTAAAGCGGAAATCTGCCCCAAAACTTGCTCCGACCATAATGCTGTGAAGATGGAAATGAAACTGACGCCAATTGGTTCCTTTAGATGGAGGATGAATGATACTTTGTTTAGGAATGAAGAAGTGACTAAGAAGGCCCAAAAAACTACTGTGGAAAAAAGAGTAATTTGGGACGCAAGCAAAGCGGTTATGAGAGGATTCCTGATACAACAGAATGCAATTAAGAAGAGAATTCAAAATGAGAAAAAAGATAAAATCCTGGAAAAAATAAAGGAAGGAGAGAAGAAACTGAGGGTGAAACCAAAGTCGCAGGAGATTTTGAAAGAGATAAAGTTATATCAAGTACAATATATGAAAATGACGAATCAGGAAATAGAATGGAAGATTAAACAGATGAGACAAAAGACATTTGAATCGGCAAATAAGTGCGGAAAACTGTTGGCTTGGCAAATGAAAAAAAGACAAAAACTTAATACCATTACGAATTTGGAAGTGGAAGGAAAGAATATACAGAATCCAGTGGAAATTAGAAAGTGCTTCCAGAGATATTTCAAACAATTATATACACAGGAGACGCAGAAAGAAACAGACATTGATAGATTTTTGAAAACTAATGGACTTCAAAAAATCTCTCAGGAAAATAAGTTAATGCTGAACTACAAAATAACGGAGCAGGAAGTAGAAGGGGCCATTCAGAACATGCAACTGGGCAAATCCCCAGGACCGGATGGATTGACTTCAAGATACTACAGATCTTTGAAAGAATGGTTAATACAACCTTTAAAGGAAGTCTGTAATGAAATACTGGAAGGGAAAAGGGCACCAGAGTCGTGGAAGGAAGCTTATATTATTACACTTATACCGAAAACAGAAACTGAAAAGACACAGCTCAAGAACTACCGCCCCATATCACTGCTTAATGTGGATTATAAAATTTTTGCAGATATTTCGGCTAAAAGATTAAAAAAGGTGTTAGCAGAAGAAATTCATAAAGATCAAGCGGGCTTTCTCCCGGGCAGACATTTGTCTGACAATACGAGGAACATAATTAATACCTTAGAAAAATTACAAGTGAAGATTAATACTAAAGCAGTTTTGATATTTGTGGACGCGGAGAAAGCCTTTGGCAATATTTCTTGGAGTTTTATGAAGAAGAATTTACAGGGGATGGGGGTTGGTCAAGGTTTTGGAAATGGTATAGGTGCAATTTATTCAGAACAAAAGGCTAAATTAATTGTGAACAACGTAGTGACGGAAGAATTTAAGATTGAGAAAGGAACACGACAAGGTTGCCCAATCTCTCCATTGCTTTTTATTTCGGTCCTGGAGGTCTTGCTAAATATAATTAGAAGGGACCAATTGGTTAAAGGTATACAAGTGGGAGCTAAACAGTACAAACTGAAAGCATTTGCTGATGATTTGGTATTGACTTTACAGGAGCCAGAATCTAGTACTAAAAGAGTACTGGAATTGATTCAAGAATTTGGTCAGGTAGCAGGCTTTAAGTTGAACAAGATGAAAACTAAGGTTTTAGAGAAAAATCTAACTGTGATTGAGAGAGATAAGTTTCAGAAGGAGACAGGATTAACACTGGTTAAGAAAGTGAAATATTTAGGGGTTAACAGGACTGCTAAGAACGTGAATTTATTTAAGGATACCTATGAAAAATGTTGGACTGAAGTCAAAAAGGACTTAGAAATATGGTCAAATTTGAAGTTATCACTGTTAGGCCGAATTGCTGTGATAAAAATGAACGTATTGCCAAGGATGTTGTTTCTGTTTCAAACATTGCAAATTTTGGACAAAATGGACTGTTTCAAGAAGTGGCAGAGAGATATCTCTAGATTTGTCTGGCAGGGCAAGAAGCCTCGAATAAAATTTAAGATATTAACTGATGCTAAAGAAAGAGGTGGATTTGCCCTGCCAGACCTTAAACTTTATTATGAATCAGCCGCCTTTTGTTGGCTGAGAGAATGGATGCTTCTTGAGAACACTGATGTGTTGGATTTGGAAGGCTTCAACAATGTATTTGGTTGGCATGCATATCTGTGGTATGACAAGGTTAAAGCACACAAAGCGTTTAGAAATCATATTGTCAGAAAAGCACTGTTTAATGTCTGGATAAGATATAAGGATCTGCTAGAAAAGAAAACCCCAAGATGGCTGTCACCAATGGAAGCAAAGACTCAGAAAAAACTCAATATGGAGGCCAAATGGCCGAAGTATTGGGAAATTTTGGAACAAGAGGGAGACAGATTAAAACTGCAGAGTTTTGAAAAATTAAAAAACAGAGTGCGAGACTGGCTCCATTATTATCAAATAATGGAGGCATATAATTTGGACAAAAAACTAGGCTTCCAGGTGGAAAAATCAAAATTGGAAACAGAATTGTTAGATCCCAAAGTTAAGAATCTGTCAAGAATGTATAACTTGCTGTTGAAATGGAATACTCAGGATGAAACGGTGAAATCTGCTATGATTAAATGGGCACAAGATGTTGGACATAACATTATGATGGCTGACTGGGAACAGTTATGGACCACAGGTATGAAGTTTACGGCATGTAATGCCTTAAAAGAGAATCTAATGAAAATGATTTACAGGTGGTACATAACACCAGTCAAGCTTGCAAAAATCTACCATTTGCCCGATAATAAATGCTGGAAATGTAATGAGACTGAAGCTACATTCTTTCACCTTTGATGGACATGCCCAAGGATTAAGAATTTCTGGGAGATGATTTATAATGAAATGAAAAAGGTATTTAAATATACCTTTCTGAAGAAACCAGAGGCCTTTCTCCTGGGCATGGTCGGCCAATTGGTGCCAAAGAAGGATAGAATTTTCTTTATGTATGCTACAACAGCAGCAAGAATACTTATCGCAAAGCATTGGAAGACACAAGATCTACCCACTTTGGAAGAATGGCAGATGAAGCTGATGGACTACATGGAATTGGCGGAAATGACTGGCAGAATCCGAGACCAGGGAGAAGAGTCGGTGGAAGAAGATTGGAAAAAATTTAAAGTATATTTACAGAAATATTGCAAAATTAATGAATGTTAGAAGGATGCTGGAATGAAACTATATGGCTTTAGCAGAAATGTTATAAAGAATTAAGTAAAAATAGATTGTTAATGGGCCAAAGTGGAAAATTTAAGGTTAGATTGTGTTAAGATAAATTATAGAACAAAAATTGAGAAAGATGGAAAGGATTTGCTGAAATAGCTAATTGAACTAGAATACAAAAAAGGGAGGTGTGAGGAGGTCGATGAAACAAGTAAATGAAAGGTAAAGACACGGAAATATTAGATGTGTTTTTAAATGTCTTTGTTTTGTTGTTGTTGTTTGGTTGTATTGTTTTTTGTTTTTATTTTTGATGTATTGTAAGGTATTGTTCTGTTTTGTTCAACTTTTTATTGTTTCTTTCTTTTTTTTTCTGTAACTTTCAAACCTCTAATAAATATCATTTTTTAAAAAAAAATCACTGAACGTCACTTTCAATCCCTTATTTGCATATGTGGACCTGTGTGAAAACTATCTACAGTATCCCCCTGCTGGCCCAAGGTGAGAACTTCAGTGCATAACAAATATCACTCTTCCACTCATCCAGAACACTGTGGCTTGTGTGTGTCTGTGTGTATGTATGAGAGAGACACAAACAGAGATGGACAGACAGACAGAGTTGGTCCATCAACCTCATCTACAGAAAACAGAACTCTGGCTTTCTCTGGGAATGTTTGCAAATTGAAAAAAATGAAGAAATCTGAGATTGGTTTTTGTTTTTTTAATTGGTTCCAATATTATCAGATTAATGACTACTTTTAAAATGATTTATTCAAAGGTTTCATGGATTGAAGTTATGACTTTTAAAAGATTCTGCTTGAAGGAAGAGAAAAATTCATTTCAAAAATGTATAAATTGTTATTAGAATGGGAGGCAAAAAGATGAAATGGTTAAATCAGTAATGATGCAACGGGCTAAGGATCTAGGACAGACCTTTCCAAATTGTGTGTTATGACACATTAGTGTGTCGGAAAAGTGTGTCACCCACATGAAAAGTTTGGAAAGCTCTGATCTAGGCCATAACATAGAAACAAATGTGTAGTAAAGGCTGTGGAAAACAGATAGGAAATTTATGAAAATTATATGAAAATGATGTATAGATGGTGTTTAACACCTAACAAATTGTCTAAAATGTATAAGAAGGTTCCTAATAACTGCTGGAAGTGTAAACAAGTAGATGGATCTTTTTTTCATATATGGTGGACCTGCAAGAAAGCAAGGGTATTTTGGGATATGATATATAATGAGATAAAAAAGATGTTTAAAGTGATTACACACCAAAAAAACCACACACCCCGAAGCTTTTCTTTTAGGGATTGTAGGGACAGAAATTCCAAGAAAGATGATTAAGCTGCTTATACAGGATTTTATAGGATTACATAGCTAACAGCTAGGATGCTCTATGCACAAAAATGGAAAGAAGTAGTAGTTACCACCAAATAAGAATGGATAAGTAAAGCATTGGACTATGCAGAATTGGCAAAGCCCCAGAGGCGTAGGAAGGTCAGGTGGTACCCGGTGCGGAAAATTTCTTGTCACATCCCCCCCCCACATTGATATTTATTTATTTATTTTGCCTACAAAAATGGTTAACGTTATTTCATATTTGCTTACAAAGGAATGTGGATTCTGAGCCTCTGACAACAAGTAGGCGACTATGGACAGATACTTAAATCTACAGGATGGATTGTGTTTTGGCTTGTGTTATTTTATTTATATGTATTGTTTATTTATTTAATAAAAATTATTTTCAAAAAACCTGCAAAGTGGTTTACCGAAACAAAAAACACAAAAACACCACAGCAGTAAAATCAAGAAAAATTAACAATCCTACTTTAAAACATACAAAAGTTAAAATATTAAGATTAAAATTACTTCAGCTTCCTAAGCATCTAAGTATGCTTGCCTAATGAAGAATGCTTTTAGCAGGTGCCCGAAAAGAGTCTAGCAAAGGCACATGCTTTGTTGAAATTTCAGCCTTCACGATATAGGAAAACGGCCAAGTAAACAGCTATTTTCATTGAGGGGGGTCAAGATATTAACTGATATGCATGAAATTTCATATGTAGCTATATAATCCCTAGTGTAGTAAGATAAGACCTTTGGAGCAGGCATGTTCAAAAAAAAGTTTTTTATGACCCGCCCTAGTAGGGCAGTAATTGTTCCTTGATAATTTGTCAAACCCCCCCTCCATGATGGCACATGGGGCGGCCTGCCCCCCACCCACCCCTTTCCTACGCCCCTGCAAAGCCCATCTTTAGCCTCTAGCAACAGCGGCGTAGCGTGGGTTGTCAGCACCCGGGGCAAGGCAAGTAATCTGCGCCCCCTAACCTGGGGCAAGGCAAGTAATCTGCGCCCCCTAACCCGGGGCAAGGCAAGTAATTTGCGCCCCCTAACCCCTAACCTGCCGCCGCTGCCAGCTTCTTCTTGCGGCTGCCTGGGCTGGTCTGGTGTGGTTCTCTCCCGTGCTCAGCGCTGCGCTGGGCGGCCGCTGCACTGTCCCTCCCCCAGATAGTCCCTCGCTCTCTCTCCGCACCGCACGCCTGGCACCCACCCCCTCCACAGTGGGCGGCGACCCAGCGGCTCGGATCGGATTCGCACAGCCAGCACTGCAGTGAGAGAGAGTGAGTGAGCCAGGTAGGGGCAGAGAACTGCGAGTGCGAGCGCGCCCCCCCCAGATGTTGCGCCCGGTGTGGCCGGCCCCCCCTGCACCCCCCACGCTACGCCACTGTCTAGCAATGAGCAGACCACACTTTGTTAAGTAAGATTAAAATGCTTTACTTACTAAATCCAAAGGTCTGGTTCCTGTTTTATTCCATACAGCAGCAAGGAGAACACAGGTAAATTACTATTGGGTGCAAAATACAGAATGTAGTTTCAAACATGCAGTATGAACTTGGATCAAGTTAAGATATGTCTGTCCTGGTAGATTACAAGAGAGTGAGAGAAAGGAAAAGAAGCAGCTTCACTTTCCCTCTCACGGAGGTAAGGGAGCATGACCTAAGCCAAGTCTAGTAACAGACCTCTCTGGTCTAAATCCCTTCATGCACTAACTAGCACTATGCACAGTTATGTTTGACTGCAATTTCCCACAGCTATGTTACTGGTTTGGCAGGGGTGGGTCAGTCTGGATGATGCCCTGAGGCCCTCCAGTTCTTGGGATCCAGCATCCAGTGAGGATTAGAATCTAACAGAGGATTCTAGGTTTGGAATTGCCCAAGAAAGATGTTAAATTATTTTTATATGCCACAACGGCTGCCCAAATATTACTTGCTAAAAATTGGAAAACACAAGAACTACCAACAGTGGAAGACTGGCAGATGAAGATGATGGATTTTTCAGAGTTAGCTGACCTGACTGGAAGAATCCGCGACCAGAAAGGAGTTTCAAGAGGACTGGAGGAAATTTAAGGACTATTTGAATAAATATTGTAATATAAAAAAATTAGAAATTTCTTGAAAGAAACAAATAGGCCTAGGATGAAACTAAGTTATAATTAAATAAATGGGATTTAGAATATTAAGAAAAGTGAATAAGATGGATCATAACTGGAAATTGTTTTAGTTTAATAATGATATTGGAAAGCTGTTACTTTCAACTACAAGGAAACTCAGAAGGGAGGGACTAGAGGAAGTCAACCAAGAAGTTTAAAAGGCTGGATTTGTAAAGAATTAAGTTTGTTGTTATTGTTTATCTGTTTATTGTTCCTTTTTCGTTCATTGATGCATTTTTCTTTTTGTGTGTGTTATTCTGCTTTGTGGTTTTTGTTATAATTGTGGAAAATCTAATTTTTTTAATTTTATTTTTTAAATAGAATCTAACAGAGGATTCTATTGCTGAACTAGTGAGACAAAGCCTTAGCTGGCCACTTAGGTGTCCTCGTCAGCATCCAAAAAGAATGAGCTACAAGTGATTGTGCCCTCCAGGCCAATGGGTGGATCTTCCTTCCCTCTGTATCACCTAGTTGCTAGCGAGGAGAACAATAGTGTTTGTAACCTATGTGGGCTGAGCTGGAAGAAGCTGGAAGCTGGAGACACAGAGACCTGCTTGCTGTGTGCTGGATCCAAAGCTGTAACTAATGGAGAAGCAAGATCTCTTGGGGTGTTAATGCTGTGAGCCCCTCCATCTTATGCTCAGGTTGTATAGATGTGTATATAAAACCTTATTACCGCTCAGAGATTAGGGTGGCCTGTAACAGTTTAGTTCATTGGAAGCCATTTTTGAACTGCACAGGACTGTATTCATACAGCTTGTGTTTGGGATTCAGTTCAGGTTAACTATTTGTCAGCTGTAGGAGGAGAAAAGTTGGTTACATATGTGGAAGGATGCTTGCCCTATCACTGGGGCCAGAAAAAGCAAGGTTCCTTATTAATGCATTTTTTTTTAATCCCCGAAGATAGACTGAGACCTAATTGCACCTCTTTACATGTCTGACAACCGCATGATCATATTGAGCGTTGGGAAATTCCAGTTGCCCAAGATCACTATTTGCTTTATAGTCAAAACTTTCTGCTGCCAATTAATACTGTTTTTAAGCCATGCTCTTTGGTTTTGATGCTGACCCACTGCCCAAACACAATGAATCATCATTTGCTCCCTTTTCATATGTAACAATTCTCTTTTCTTTGTCAAGCTTTGGTACTGTGCCAGACCTTCCATCCCACTTTTAATTTTATTTTTGCCTTTAAAATTTTCAGTCTGTTAGGATTCCACCCCTCACCCCCCAGTCAGTCCAAAACATTATTCAGCCACTCAGAAAGATTGTTCCACGTTCCTCTTCGGATGCACCACTTTCTGCTTCTCACATGGCTATTAGGGCACAGGAGTTCTGCCAGGGAAAAAACAATGGCATCCCTATTGCCCACAGGGCTTAATAGGTCCTGCACCATTGTGCGGGGGGGGGGGGGCAAGAGAAGCCAAGAGTGAGCCTCTCATTGTGTCTCCCTCCACCAAAGCTGGTCTGTGCCATGGTGTGATTTAATCTATTTTTGTTTTAAATAACAGTGTTCAAGCGGTATGATTTGTGGGGAGGGTGTTTGGGGCTGATGGGAGTCGCAATCATTGTCCAAAACATCTTGAGCACCAGGTTGTTGAAGGCTGTCCTGAGCGTTTAAAAAAGACTCGTGAGCCATGACCACCACATAATGCAGCAGCAAAATTCCATTAATGAATTAAGTGCTGTCAGTCCCAAATCTAGTCAATTTCCCAAAGGTGCAATCAATTTCATTTTTATTGCTTCAATTATTTTATCAGAGATTTTGATATAGTAACAGCAATTACAAAGAAAACATTTCAAAATACTAAAAAGAAAAAAGAAAGGGATAGCATTTGGCAAGCCGTGTTTAGCACAATTACTTTAAGTCTTGCTTATCTCTGTTGAATCTTCCAGATGCACCAGAAGGATAGTGAGAAAGTATTGAGAAAGATGGAAGAGGACAAAAAAATCTGATAGATCTCTCACATTCCTCCGATGTTCATTTTGATTGATGTAGCCAATAAAATCAAACCACATGACAAAGGAGGTGTCCCTTTCACTTTCACCTTGTGCCATCCACAGTTACTGAGACCGGTGCTTCAGAAGCCGAAGGCACTATGTAGCCTCATTTTCATTTTATTATGACATTGATATCCCACCTTTCCTCTAAGGGGCTCAAGCTGACAGACATAGTTCTCCAGTGAGTAGGCAGTCCAAGGTCACCCACTGAACTTCATGACTAAGTGGAGGGTTGAATCCTGCTCTCCCAGGTCCCAGCCTTACCTCTAAACCACATTTTGTCCTGGTTCTGCTCCAAGTCAGTTTCATGAGGTGACCTTGAAGTATGTGAGAGAAAGAAAAACTATCTTGGATCCACTTTCTTATTTTAATCTACAGCGGTTCTGTGAGGAGGCTGCCCATAGAATCACAGAATTGCAGGGCTAGGAGGGAGCTAAAGGGTCATCCAGCCCAACCCTTTACAATGCAAGAAACACAGCTAAAGAATCCATGACAGATGGTCATCAAATGAAGGCGAGTGCACCACTTTCCCAGGGAATCTGCTCCACTATCAAACAGTTCTTCCTCATGTCGAAACAAAATTAAAAAAAAAAATTCCTTCCAGTAGCACCTTAGAGACCAGCTAAGCTTGTTATTGGTATGAGCTTTCGTGTGCATGCACACTTCTTAATCTCCTTTCTTATAATGTATATCCATTGGTTCAGCCCCTCCCCCTGGAGCTACAGAAAACAAGCTTGCTCCATCTCCCATATTCTTCTTAATTTCCCTAGTTTATTGGACTTTATGCCCCTTTTTGTTGCAACACCTAGTGACCCAGAAGTTAAGCCGCACTGACAACAATGTGGTGCTTAACTTTGAGCACCGTGCAACGTGCAGAAATAGCCCCCAACCAAAGCACCCATCTCTCCCCCCCCCCAATAGAGCAACCTTCCCCAACCTGGCCGCTCCAGATGTTTTGGACTGTAACTTCCATCAATCCCAGCCATTCAGCCATATGATGCTGGTTCCAATAGGAGTTGCAGTCTTAAACATCTAGAGGTCAGGGTAGTGAAGCTTTATGTCGAGGGATACTCAGTCCAGTGACCTACAAGGTTTCTGAGGCAGTGGACATATCTATGTCCATCATTATTACATGAACATGTGTACATTGTGTTTCTCTCCAAATGTCTTTAGCGCATGTCCTTACCAGCCTCTTCTGCCCAGTCTAA